TATTTATTTCATGATTGATATGAAGCCATCTCATCATTGATTACATTGATGTTGTAATGAGGTGCTGCTTCTTTTTAAATTTTATTTGTTTGTAAAACATTGCTCTCAAAATCTCACATTCAACTTTTCTTTAAAGGCTTCCGAAAACCTTCTAAAACAACATTACATTGACCTGAAAGATCGGCCATTCTACCCTGGTTTAGTTAAATACATGAATTCTGGACCTGTTGTGGCCATGGTGAGTAGCATTTTATTTACTTAAATATATATTGTGCAGGACATGGCTAGGTATCTTTCTTCTAATTACATAAACTATTTTTTTTAATTGTTAGCATCTGTGGACACTTTATAGCTTTAAAAACAATTTTTTTTAAAAAAAAATTACACTCTCCCAATATATAAAATAAAGTGGTAAAAGAAAACAAGACAATTTCCACATGATCCAGTGCTGCCCAGAGCACTTCTGAATGGCGGTCTGCGCTAGTCCTGCATTAGTAGAGCTGCACTGGAAGTGGTGCAGGAGTAAGAAATTTGAAGAAAACTGCTAGTTTATATGTCAACAATAGTTGTATAGCAGATGAAACAACTGAAGAATACTCCTGGTGGGGTTTATAAAATAGCTATGAAATAATTTTTATATAACAGTCTGTTTACAAAACTTGACTTGAAAAGCCTTCCCCACTTCCCATGAATAGAACATGATGACTTCATTAGGATTCCCTGCCATTCATAGTTGTTTCTGGATTATAGGGAAACAGGAGGGCTGTACAGAGTCCTGAAAGTTGCCTAGCAGGTGAAGTAGTAACTGGTTGAGATTTCCAAGGCAGCCCAGGGGATTTAAGCACTTCAGATAACTTTACAGTTAGACTACTATGAAAGTCTCTACCTTAATTCTTAAACAGTTATGTGAGCCAATATAATGGTGTGTGTGTTTGAGTTTTCACTGTTTTGTGCCTAATTGGCTCCATGGAGTCTGAACTATTTAAAGATGCTAATTGCAGGCCACTTCATTAGAGGTTTTCAAGTGGCATCTATGTGAGAGCCACTCAGGAGTGGCAATAAAGTATCTTCTCTCCATAAGCTTTTGTTTACTTGATTGGTGTTAACAAGAAGTGTGTCCATTGTTCTTCAGGCCAGATGTTCTTCTCTTTAAAATCTCACTTCCTTCAGATATGTTCTGGTAACCAGGAGCCATTCTGATGCTATCTACTCTCATGCCTTTTCACAGTGAAAGATAACCAGTGAAACAAATGTAATTTACAAAGAATTATAACCATTTATTTTATAATTTTCTCTTGTTCCTAGTCTTCCTTTAGCAATTTAATTGATACAGATTCTGAGAGAGATTTAGATCTTTGTGGGGAAGGCCTTTGTCTCCTTGCAAAGTGCAGAAGGTGAGTTTTCTGTGATGCCTTGAATGGATACGGAATAATGTATTTTTTTATTTTATTTGTAGGTTTGGGAAGGTCTCAATGTGGTTAAAACTGGCAGAGTTATGCTGGGAGAGACTAATCCTGCAGATTCTAAACCTGGTACAATCCGTGGTGACTTCTGCATTCAAGTGGGAAGGTTGGTGCTGAAATTATTATAAAATTAACTTTTCTAAATATTTTTCCACACTTACAAGATAAGTATATTTACTGCTTTCATTGTAAGCATCATTTGAATAAAAAACTAAAAAACGCTTAAGAACAGAAATTGTGCAAAGTCACCAGATACCTATGTCTTTCCTTGAAAGGTATGTTCTTACCTATGCATATACATTATGTATAGAGAAAATAAGTCTGTGATACATCAAGCTATTTTAATGTGGCTGTACTGTTTCCTTTTTAGTGATCCAGTTTGGCATAGGATGAACTTCATGTTGCCTTCTGGAAAGCTTAGGTAGTTAGGCATAAGAATCCTAGTCTGAAGCTGAAATTAATTTGTAGGACACAATCCAATAAGGTTGCTTATACAAAGCATTTTGGGTTTAATTATACATCAGAACTGGATGAAAAATGATAATCATGTCATGGTGGTGCGGTTAATAGTTTGGGTTATGTTTAGAACTTTGTTCGGCCCTCGTTTTATTTGTGAAGTGTGTGTGTGTGTGTATTTTTAAGAGTCGTACCTCAAGCTCTAGCTTTTCAGCAGTAGATGACTCTCCAGACCTGTCCATATAGACAAGTTACTAACAGTTTCTAAAACTGACACCTTTGAAATTTTGTGATTGGCTTTCTTCACAGGAACATCATCCATGGCAGTGACTCTGTAGAAAGTGCTCAGAAGGAGATCAAGCTATGGTTTCAGCCCACAGAGCTTGTTGATTTCAAATCTTGTGCTCATGACTGGATCTATGAGTAAAATGAAATCTCTCCAATGAATTGTGCCTTCTGAACACAGCATCTCATTCCAGCAGCTATTGACCTGGGAGCAACCATTATGATTACCTTTACATAGTGCTGTAAAGTTGAATAAATAGATCATGGAAACTATTTCTGTGTAGTCTGTATTCACTGGAAAAACATACTTAAATTTGCATGGAGTAGAACTGGTCATTTGTACAGATGTATACAATTTTGCTTGTGGGGACAAAATGAAATCCACATTCAGGAAACTTCTCTGAAAACATGATCAAAACAAAACCAACTAACTGTTACTGTACATCTGTTAGGTGCTGAAAACAGGTATATGTTAGCTACCCACATAAATTTGTTTTCTCATCACAACCTGAGACGATTCTTTGAGTCTTTCTTCAGCCTGCCCCTTTGCTCTACAGCTTTTGCAGTTTGTTGGCTACAGTGAAAGCAGAGGAAGCACATTAAGTATCAGTAGATACCATGAGAGAGAACTAAAGAAAAGCACGTATCCTTGCTTATTAATTTTACACAAGTTGACTCACCCATCAGAAAAATCATTACACTTCTGCCCTGTTTGTCAGTCTCTGTGTAAACAGTAGTAGTATTATGGTCTGTACTCCACATTATAGGACTACCACTTCATGAGTGCTTTACAACTATTTTAAATGAGACCTCCGAAGACTAACAAATAATTCAGTTCATAAACTGATGCTCTACTAAACAGGACGTAAAGTGAAAATGTAGCATGTGGTAACCAGATTCAAGTGGACATCTGATTGTAATGGTGATTTTTGAAACTAATAGTACATACCGGTTGTGCAGGAAATAATGAGAATAGGATTGAATCTCAACCCATACATTGCATCTGTTTGTAATCTAGTGATGGGGTAAACAACTCAGGATCTTAACATGAGCTGTCTGAAAGATCTTAATGAATAGTACTAGCAGACAGGATCGGATACCCTTATCGGAATGGCTAAGACATGAAACCCCTGCATTGAGAAGCTGAACCATTACACCACTATGCTGGCAAAATTACATGTAAGACACTGATTTGAAAAGCTCCCAAACTCAGGTATAGAGTGGGTGACAGAAAATTTGCTTGGAGTATCTCCTATGGATTGAATAGTTTCTACAGTGGTGATCATACTTATGAGAAAATGTTGAAAGGAACAGGTCCATCCACTATACTATGAAGCTGTAGATGTCACAGCACATTGAGTGAAATAAGAATTTCCATTTTATGAGGTACAGGGATAACTGACCTCTAAAGTGACAGCATATGACCCAAGTCTCTTGACTGCCATTTCAGTGCTCCTGTTCATATGACCAAACTGTCTCCTGTAGGCTATAGTTATAGCAGAATAGTATGAAATTTGATAAACTTGCTCTGTTCTTATGCTATGATAAAGCCTTATGGCACCCTTAGTAATGAAGGCCAACAGGGAACATAGTGTACTAGCCAACTACCCTACATCACTTAAACCATACAGTTAAGGCACTTGGTGATTTAGCTCTAATAGATTTTAGAGATATTTGTAAACTGAACTGGGCTCAAACAATATTACACATAATTTGATGTGACAGCCAATGGCCCATGTATTCTGCAACTATATACTTACATTTAGTGGTACTCCAGCAGAAATTCTTAATTTTCTAGCACTTTCTAGTAAGTGAGGTCTGATGGACTTTAATATTTATAATCCAGTCAGTATAGTAACTTGTTTACTTTTATAGTGAATTCAGTTTTTTAGACTGTCCCCATAATTTTCAGTTTCATGGACTGGTGGACTACCAGGTGTAGCTTTTAGAGGAAATAGCTCTCTAGCTGCATGGGGCAGGTTACATTGCCCAGTTGTTTCAGGGTGCCTGCCTAGCTCGGAAGACAATGCTGCACTAAGTTTGTGCTCCCTTCTCCTTTACCTGTTTATCTTCACAACTGAGGATACAAACAGCTTTTTTCCTCCAGCGAAAGCTGGAATTTTTTTTTGTAAACAGTTCTGTAGAAACAAGTAAATTCCACTGATTTGCACTTAAGCCATTACTCACCGTCTACACTGCTATTTGTTCCTGTGCTAGTTGGTGGTGCAGTGTCTCTATTCTACATCCACCGCAAATGCAGATGTACCCTACTACATCATGATTAGCACCAGCACAGTCTTACTGCTCCAATGCGCCCCACTAGGCTAAGCAGCACTGAGTGCAAATCACACTGCACTAATGTCAGTTGTGCTGGCAGGGGTGCAGCTACACTGGTGGCTAAATCACAGTTTAGACAAAACTGGCAAGGACTGCTTAATAGTGTAGAGTTGTGAAAGGTCTGGGATATGACTTGTGGCAGCTTTCAAAAGCTTCCCTCTCAAAGATAAAATTCCCCCCTCCCCCACAAGTTCCAGCAATGAAACCTGCACTGTGTATATGGTATCTTAAAGGAAAAGTGATAAGTTTTCATTTCCATTGAAAAGCAAAGTTTTCAAAAATAACTGAGGTGTAACTTAAAAATTAAAGCATTTCCCATAAGTATATTTAAAAATAGATTTGATTAACTGATTTCTATACTTCAGTTCTGTTATTTGTTATGTGGCCAAATGAAGACACCACAATGTATCTGAATATATCTCAATTAAAAAATACAAAGAAATTACCATCCACGTGGTCTTATTTTAACATTTTTATTTTGTGTAAAAAAGGCAAATTTAGTGAATTATTTTCATCTTGTACACAAAGTTATAATTTTAATGCTTTTCACATCCATGCTGAAAATCTGCAGTCTGGTAAAAATGAAAGTAACATTAATTTCTCCAAAAGCATTTTTCACTTATATACATTTCATGAGAAAGTTTTAAAAACTCTCTCTCATTGACCACACAAATTACCAAGAAAATAAAAGATTAAATTTGTACAGATATTGATCTATATATCAAATACATACAGAAATGATGTAAAAACCCTATTCATTTCATCTTGATTCCCACCCCAATATATTTTCCCAAGGGCAAAAGCTGATGCTTTTTGTTGTATAAATGGCTGTGACTATTTTTTTTAAATATGAAAATTAAAAGGAAGAAAAATTCAGCTTAATCACAGTTTTTTAATCCCTTCCCAATAAAGGATTGTTACCAAATATATATTAGCACCATAGTACAAATATTGGTGGGAGAGGGTATTCACATCACATAAAAACAATAATAATAAAAACAAACAAACACTGAAACCCGTGTTAGTATCCGTAAAACAAGAAATTGATAAATGCTTTAGCTTTCCTTATACATAGCAAGGAAAAGGTTAAGAAGTTGCATTTAAAACAACAAAATCAAGGTCAGCAGTAAAATTCTGAGCCATAAAGGAAGGGGGCAGTTACAAGGTAAATTTAGTTATTTGCACTACCCCTTGGTTATAAAAACTTGCTATGCCAAATATTGAAATGACTGTTTGATCCCCAACTTAGACATCAATAGAGATTTAAGACCTCTAACACCTCACCTTTCTTTTAGCCGAGTAACATGGTTCACAGGAGAACGAAGGAAGAAAATTCTTTGAACCATGTTATTAATTAATACTAGTACATATACAGTGAAGCCTGTACTAAAGACACCACTGCCAACAGGAAACCCCACTGTTTTAAGAGACCACTTTAAAGACCACTGCAAGTATGAATCTGGTACGATTTAGCTCAACTTTTACGTAAACAGACCTCTCCCAAGCATGTAATTTTAGGTGATTCCTTATATGCTTTGCTTAGGACAGGTTTCATTGTACTTGACAGGTAGGTGAAGGATTTAAGTTTTCTTTGGATTCAGAAACCAGACTGAAATTCCATCCTCAAATACACATGAAATTCCCACCAAAGTCAGCATGTGTATCTGAGGGTGGAATTTGGCTTGCAGATAGCCATGTTTAGTTTTTAAATAACCATTTTCAAGGAATATTATAAAGGTTGACAGACCCCCCAAATTCTCCACCCCTCCCCCTACAAGGGCATTTTACTATAAAAAAAAATCCAAAGATTCCCCTTAAAATCTAGCCCAAATCAGGGTTATAATAGTCTGGATAATCCAAGCTCTGAAGATGGGCAACAAACACGAGCCCAGGAATCTGGATATTTTGCCCTCATGATTTGACTTGCTAACTATGGGCCCAATTCCACAACTCCTTTTCACATTAACCCATATTCATACAACAGCGGTTCTCCTGAAGTCAACTGGGCTACTTGTGTCACTAGGACTAGTCTACACTAACGCTGTAAATCGATCTAAGTTATGCTACTTCAGTTGTAACTCAGGTCAACTTAGAGTGGTGTCTACACTGCGCTACGTCAATGGGAGACGCTCTCCCACCGACTTAACTTCTGCCTCTCGGGGAGGTGGCATACAGACATCTGATGGGAGAGCACTTTGCCATCGACGTAGCTTGTCTTCACCAGACCGGCTAAATTGACACTGCTGCATCGATCGCAGCAGTGCCAACTTAGCCAGAAGTATAGACATGGCTTAAATGTTATTCTATGGAAGTAGAGGCTTTATGAAAGCAGATGCATCTCATGCATCCCTTGTGCTCTGTGGGCCTAATTCTGCCAGCCTTGCTCACATTGAGTAGTTCTTTATATGACATGCGACTAGTCCCAGTGAAATCAACGCATTCAAGTACTAACCAACCTGAGGAAGTACCAGCAGAATCTGACTTTTTGATAGGTGACAGAGACCGTACTTGGTGTGACCGAGGCTCACCAAAATGCCTTTGTTTCAAGCATATGTAATCCAAAATCCTGGACTTGCCTTTACATCTCTCTGACCAAGAGCTGGGATTGTAAAACTACACTGCAGCCCTTGTTTTGGAAGGCTCTGATTTTTTTTTGCGTTTTAAATAAACTAAATGAATTAAAGGGCCTGGGAACTGAAGAGAGTAAATTTGAAGCTGGTCAACCTTGACAGAGTCCTTTTAATATGGATATTTTAAAGCTAAAATAGCTTTTCCACCTGAACTCACCGATATTTCACACCTGATAACCAGCTTTTGCTGATATGAGAAAACAGTTGTCAAAAAGGGATCAATATTACAAAAAATTGACTGGGGGAGAGGAGAAAAGGTTTCCATACATTCCTACACTATACAGGACAAGTTTTACTTTCAGTAGTAACTACAAAACTTTACATCATCATCATCCCCTCTTGCATAGAATGAGGTAAACCTGTGCATATTAACAATGCTTCTACCCAAAGTTAGAGCAATATTTTAGAAAATAATCAAATTGCTGGTTTTCAACTTTCTATGCATTTTTTTTTTTTTTTTTTAAAGTTCAAACAATAATGTACCAAAAAATGGTCTCCTGGGGCTCTGTGGGCAGATATTGTTAAAGCATTTCTTCGGCTGAAGGACCATAGAAGTTAATAATTTTGATTAATTTCTTCTAAGCCCTACTGTATGGGTCAAGAGTCAGATGATCATTGTACTGCTCTGAAGGGGACCTCCAAAAACCCAGAAGCACTTATAGAACATATTCAGTTTATTCCTGAGAGTTTAGTGAATGAACCTCACTGGTAAAAGCTAAAGCTCTTGATGCCCATTCTTCCCATCACAACTCTGCAGGGTGGGGGGAAAAAGATAAATAAATCAGGCTGCTAATCAACTCCAAGAATTAGGCCACCTGCCAAAATCCACACAGATGTAAAAATGGGAAGGGGGATTAAATTATTCAGCACTTATTAAAAATCCTCATATTTTGATGTTAGTCACTATAATCTTCTGCGAATATGTCTAAAGAGATCTGTTCAGCTAAAGAGTCAAAAATAATGGGATGATTAAAGTGAGACTGGCGTCTAGAACTAAATGAGTCCAATTTGCCAAAAAGCAAAATATTTTTTTTTAGATCCCAATTCCATTGTTATATTCTTGGACAGCAGAATATTAAAACCTCTGCAGAACTGAGAGTAGATTTTTTTTTGCCTTCATAGTAAGTATTTTTCTAGTTCATCTGGTACATCTCTTGAGGATGCCAACATACCCAAGTATTTGAAGATATGGAAAGCAGGAGTCTAGATTTTTCTGGGGAATAAAAACCAGAGAAAAGGCCCTCAGATTCCTTCCTCCCTCAAATATGTTTTCCATCCAAACATAAAAAACAGGAAAAGGTCCTGAATTTCTAGTTTAAACACTTAGTTTCATGTAATTTTCCACGAGAGAATCTGCTGAAGTTCCAGTTTAACATGGGGCTCAGTAAACATTTACCTGAGCATCCCAAGATTAAGGGCCCAATCCAAAACCCACTGAAGTCAATGGGTGTTGAATCAGGCCCTAAATGAGTAACCATCTTGAAAAGTTAATACCACACCTCATGAAAGCACCCCCATTGAAATTGGGCTACTCACACAAGTAAGGCTTGGCAGGCCTGGTCCCCTTAAATCATGTATATGTTTTTATGCCCCAAAGTCAGGACTTCAGTTCAGTATTTTCACAATGAAAAACCAGAGGTGTGACTCATACAGCTCACAAAAGTCCCAAATCTCCCAACTTGTACCAACAAGGTTCATTTGTAATGACAGTTCATTTGTATTTGCAACAATATCCTCCTCAAACAGTTTTCTGCAATCCTGCTAATTAAACTTTAATTTTACCAAAAAATTAGAATTTCAGTTTAAGAATGCACAATAAATCTGAATTTGAAAATATTACAAAATTCTTTCAAAAGCTTCAAATACAACACAAAAATGTCATTTTTTGTTTAATAAATTGTAAAAATTTTTCACTAAAATAGTTTCCCTGCCTCTCCAAAAATTTTTCAACAGAAGTTTCATCTACAGTTAGCAAAGTGCCCCAAGTACAGCTCTGCAACTGTACTATTGAAATGGGAACAAAATCAGTCAGTCAGTCTTGGAGAAAGGCTCTTTTCTCTATCACCACCACCCTGCCCCTCACATTTCTGAGCTGCCTTATGGTTCTTGTTTGATGTAGTAGCTGGCAGACCCATTGCTTTCCTGATCAGATGCTCCTTGAAGAAAGTTATACTCCTCTCCATCTAGCAACTCCTCCTTCAGCTGCAGTGAAGTCACTAAAAATAAAAGATAAAGACCCATAAAGAATTAAAAATAATTAAGATTTCCCTTCAGTTTAACTAAAACCTAACATTATTTTTCTTCCCATTAATAATTTTAAACTGAGCATTAAAAAGGCTAAAGTTTAGATAAATTATTTTTAAGAAACAATATATATAGTAAATAAAATAGCTTCAGACTTGCAGATTTAAAGTGCAGTTATAATCAGAAAAAGGACTGTAAAATGTATAAATTAGGAGGGGAAGAGGGAGGAAAGGGGTGTTCCACAGTAACTGCTTCTCAGTAAGTTTAAATTCAGCTTGTATCTAAATATGATTTTCATTTACTCCCAGGCCTACAAATTTAACTTGGGATCACGGCCAGGGGAAAAGAACCACCAACCTAACCCAAGATGTACCTTTTACATTATCTCCAGGCTGCACAGTCAGAACTTAGCTGACAAGCTACATGAGGCAAAATAAATTCTGTTCACACCTCTACAGCTGGGTTGTCTCCACAGTTCTAATAGTGAAGTGGGCAGATATATTAATCACTAATACACATTACATTACTATAGCACCTTCCAGTCAAAACCCTAAAGGCACCTTTCTCATCAATGAATCATGAGCTCCCTGGTGAGGCAGGCAGATATTAAACCCATTTCACAGATGGGAAGACTGAGGCAGAGAAAGCGATTAAGAGGTCAAGTGTGCCCAAGATCCCATTGGAAGCATGTGGTAGAGCTACAGTAGAACCCAGATCTCATGTCTAGTTCTTTGACCAGCCTTCTTCTCTTGGGACTAAGATACCTCACAGGAAGCAGATGCTTTGACTTTTCTGACAATAACCGCACTTTAAGTTACACCCTTAACATCACTTCAAATGATAGAATAACTTTGCTTTAACAAATGCCCCTGAGGTTTAATTTTAGCCTCAGTGACCCCATATTAATACCTCTGGTTAAGCTAGTGACAAACTGAAAACCGATTACCCACTGTTTAGAAGAACAAATACTGGACAGTGATGGAAAACATAGTAAATCCATCTATGTATAGGGCTACACTGCAAAAAAAAAAAAAAACACCAAAAAAACCCAAAATAGAATTGTAGCAAGTCTCAGAGCCTGGGTTGACAGACTCAGGCTTGTGCTACAGCACTAAAAATAGCAGTGTAGATTTTCCCCACTCCGGCTCTGACACCTGGTGAAGGGGATGAGTTTTAGAGTCCGAGCAGGAACTTCTACACTATTATTTTTAATGTCATAGTGCAAACCCCACGATTCTGAGCCTCTAGATCCGGGCTCTGAGACTTGATGCTGTGGGTGTTTTTCTTTTTTTGCAGTGTAGACATACCCTCAAAGGGTCAACCAGTAAGATGTGCAAAAGTGATTTCTTAAAATACAAATATCCATGTTGAAGAGCAAAATAATCTAAGTTCAAAGAGGATTTTTTTTTCTTCTTTACAAAGTCTGCCCTTCTGAGCCATCTGCCTACAGCAACCATCTTAGCATAAAAGGTCATTTTAAGAAATGGTAAATTAAGCTTCATCTTGTTGCAATGCTGCTTCCACATAGAAGACTAGTAACTGAATTAAGCAGCTCATGTCACTGGAATTCCACATTGTATTTTGATGAGTAAGTGGCAAGTTTTGTCCAACCAAGAAAAACAGATGTTATTTCAAGCATGTCACTACTGTGATTATTTCTGACAAAGTGACAGATTGAAATCTGTATGCAATGTTGGTGTAGCTGTGTCGGTCCCAGGATATCAGAGAGATAAGGAGGGTGATGTGATATTTTTTATTGGACCAACTTATGCTGATGAGAGGGACAAGTTTTCACAGAGCTCTTCTTCAGATTGAAATCTAACTATTTTCTCAGGTGGGTGCTGGGCTTCAAGAGTGAGAGTGGCCTGCTGTACCTTTAGAACTGGTGCACTTTGACTAGATTAGAGAATAGACTGTATCAGCCAGTTATACACCGACTGCTTATTTGGGACAGTAATTCAGCTTAACTGGGAAAAGTGTAGATAAGCAAGTAATACTTACATAGGGCTGTCTGGGTTTTTGATGCTCTCAGGCTGACGTGCTTTATCTCCCCCTATAAGTCTTCTGCTTATAAAAGAGAGCTGTTTTTAAACATCACTCAAAGCTAAAATCTCTTCTAGCTAGCAGTATATTACAAGGTTCTCAGAAACTTGGTGGCTATGGATTTAGAATAATAGAATATCAGGGCTGGAAGGGACCTCAGGAGGTCATCTAGTCCAACCCCCTGCTCAAAACAGAGTCAATCCCCAACTAAATCATCCCAGACAGGGCTTTGTCAAGCCTGACCTTAAAAACCTCAAAAGGAAGGAGATTCCACCCCCCCCCCCCAGGTAACGCATTCCAGTGTTTCACCACCCTCCTAGTGAAAAAGTTTTTCCTAATATCCAACCTAAACCTCCGCCACTGCAACTTGAGACCATTACTCCTTGTCCTGTCATCTGCCACCACTGAGAACAGTCTAGAACCATCCTCTTGGGAACCCCCTTTCAGGTGGTTGAAAGCAGCTATCAAATCCCCCCTCATTCTTCTCTTCCGCAGACTAAATAACCCCAGTTCCCTCAGCCTCTCCTCATAAGTCATGCGTTCCAGCCCCCAATCATTTTTGTTGCCCTCTACTGGACACTTTCCAATTTTTCCACATCCTTCTTGTAGTGTGGGGCCCAAAACTGGACACAGTACTCCAGATGAGGCCTCGCCAATGTTGAATAGAGGGGAACGATCATGTCCCTCGATCTGCTGGCAATGCCCCTACTTATACAGCCCAAAATGCCATTAGCCTTCTTGGCAACAAGGGCACAATGTTGATTCATATCCAGCTTCTTGTCCACTGTAACCCCTCGGTCCTTTTCTGCAGAACTGCTGCCTAGCCATTCAGTCCCTAGTCTGTAGCGGTGCATGGGATTCTTCCATCCTAAGTGCAGGACTCTGCACTTGTCCTTGTTGAACCTCATCAGATTTCTTTTGGACCAATCCTCTAATTTGTCTAGGTCCCTCTGTATCCTATCCCTGCCCTCCAGCGTATCTACCTCTCCTCCCAGTTTAGTGTCATCTGCAGACTTGCTGAGGGTGCAGTCCACGCCATCCTCCAGATCATTAATGAAGATATTGAACAAATCCGGCCCCAGGACCAACCCTGGGGGCATTCTGCTTGATGCCAGCTGCCAACTAGACATGGAGCCATTCATCACTACCTGTTGAGCCTGACGATCTACCCAGCTTTCTATCCACCTTATAGTCCATTCATCCTGCCCATACTTCTTTAACTTGCTGGCAAGAATATTGTGGGAGACCGTATCAAAAGCTTTGCTAAAGTCAAGGAATAACATGTCCACTGCTTTTCCCTCATCCACAGAACCAGTTATCTCATCATAGAAGGCAATTAGATTAGTTTGGCATGACATGCCCTTGGTGAATCCATGCTGACTGTTCCTGATCACTTTCCTCTCCTCTAAGTGCTTCAGAATTGATTCCTTGAGGACCTGCTCCATGATTTTTCCAGGGACTGAGGTGAGGCTGATTGGCCTGTAGTTCCCAGGATCCTCCTTCTTCCCTTTTTTAAAGACGGACACTACATTAGCCTTTTTCCAGTCGTCTGGGACCTTCCCCGATCGCCATGAGTTTTCAAAGATAATGGCCAATGGCTCTGCAATCACATCCGCCAACTCCTTTAGCACTCTCGGATGCAGCGCATCCGGCCCCATGGACTTGTGCTCGTCCACCTTTTCTAAATAGTCCCGAACCACTTCTTTCTCCACAGAGGGCTGGTCACCTCTTCCCCATTCTGTGCTGCCCAGTGCAGCAGTCTGGGAGCTGACCTTGTTCGTGAAGACAGAGGCAAAAAAAAGCATTGAGTACATTAGCTTTTTCCACATCCTCAGTGACTAGGTTGCCTCCCTCATTCAGAAAGGGGCCCGTACTTTCCTTGACTTTCTTCTTGTTGCTAACATACCTGAAGAAACCCTTCTTGTTACTCTTAACATCTCTTGCTAGCTGCAATTCCAGGTGTGATTTGGCCTTCCTGATTTCACTCCTGATTTCTCTAGTTCAATTTCATTTCAGCTCATTTTAGAAGGGGCGAAATGTCACTGAGCATTTTTCCTTTAACTTTTCAGTGGACCAGCACATTTCGTAGCAATCTGAAGGACAATTACAGGTACAAAAAGTGAATATTTGTGTTTATTACTCTTATTTAATATCTACTACTGTAGTAGCTATCAGAAGCCAACCAGATTGGAGCCCATCAGCCTAGGTGCTATACAAATATATAGTAAGTGACAGACCCTATCCCAAAGAGCTTGCAGTCTGGAAAATTCTGTTTACTCAGGATGAAAGGCTGATAAGGCATCCTACACAAACAGGTTGTATAACATTAAGGCTTTGGTCCTACAATTAGATCCACTAGCATAGCCCCTTGGATATTAGTGGGTCCGATCGCAGGATTGGGGGTCTTAAGTTTTAAATAAAATGTGAAGAGTCAAATTCTGCCCTGGGATACACGCATAAGTCTCCAATGGACTATAATGGAACGGACAGCTCCAGAAACAGAATTTGTTCCTTAATGTATATATAGCAAGGGAGTTTTGGCTGTTAAACCAGTTTAAAAGGAGAACAGTAATCCACTTTCTCTCATATGCTCAGCTCCTATGATATTGGCATAATCAATTCTGTCACTCTTCAGTAAGATGGTTGCCATCAGGAACAGGCTGAGAAATGCAGACTTCAATTAAAACCAGCATTTTAAGTTATCATTCACAGTTCGCATTCAAGGAGAACAGCTTATCTTGTGAACATTAAGATGGATATTGTTTCTCCTTCATCTTCCGAAACAGATGGCTGAATTTAAAAACTTCCTTTACTACAGATGTGTATGTACAGCATTCAGAACCAAATTACATTATTTTCATTACTAACTGAAACACTCAAACCCATAATTTCACTGTTTAATTTCATGCTTTAATTTTTGCTAAGCAGAATTAAGCATGATTAAAAAACATGTACTATCTTCAGATCACAGATGCCTCATAATTCATTTTCTTTCATGGTCATTTTTGTAAGTGACAGGCAGGAAAAACTGTTTATAATAGAGGGTTTGCAGCATATTTGCAATTAATTTTTAAGACCCAGGATATGTTTTTAAATCTTCTATCTTCCTATTTTAAAAAAAAATCTGAAACACAAAGAAGAATGATATTATGGATAGCAGTAGCAAATAGGTTGTAATTAACCCCACAATCTGATTGAGTAAGAAAAGTGATACTTATCAATATATGAGCATATATGAAAAGCAGGAACACTGAAAAGAAAATATGGCAAAGTTTTCATTAAAGGTGCAGTACCCACATTAAAAGGTTGATTAATATACAAAAACTGATGGCTATCTGATGACCAAATGAATGAGAGAAGCATTAAAGAGTTTCAGTTACTGAATACCAAGTTAACACCACCAATGTCTTTTCAAATGCAAAAATTTGATGTAGTGAAATCTGAAAATAAATCCCCAAACCTGTTGCTATTTGTAATCCTGCTATAAATTTACAAGCCATTTAATTATTCTTTTATTATGGTCCTATATCATCTTCCATGGTGATACACACTCCTGTGCTAAATAAAAATAAAATTTAAAAACATTAAAATATTTTAAAAATTGCTAAAAAAGCGGCAGAGGACGATGTAAAACCTATAAAAAAATCAAGCAACCTCACTACCTTGCGTCATGAAAACCTCTTCCCTCCCTACCCTGCCCCAAAAACCTTGGTTATTTTTGCCTGTCCCTATGTCACATCTAATGTACAGCAGGGACCTTTTCTTTTATTAGTCTGTGGAGGACCACGCACACCTAAGGCATGGTATCTTTACATAATAAGCAACAACAATCATTAATAGAGAGATTACTCTAGGAAAACGCTAATACACAGAGGTTTAAACTGCTTTCCTACAACTTGAAATGCTTTGGTCAAGTTCCCATCCTCCCCAGTATTTAAATAATGCTTGTGGGTTTGCCCAATATTTCAAGTACACCTGGTGAGTTAGTAGGCTTCACATTTTGTCCTAGATCTGTTCAATGAGCATGAAGATCCTGACAGTTACATATTTAAACAACACTATTTTTCCCGCTAACAAATCTCCTGAAGACAAGTTTATCAACACCATGGGTTCAAGCTACACCTATATAATACACCACTTGAATGATAAGCAAAGAGATAATTATTTAGCTATAGTGCCTTAAATCATGAAGCCACTTGGTTGAACATCCAGCTGATGAAAGGTTCTGAGCAGAAGGAAAGACACACAAGGTGCTCCCTCTCCTCATGAGCTATCTGCAGAGTGCTCTCAGTACCTTGCTACCCAAGGAAGCCACATACTGATCTCCCTTGTACCAGTGTGATGAGATGTCACTAACCTGCCCCACCAGGAAACATCAGACCCTGACTTTAGGGGATAACACACGTCAAGAAAGTGGGACTGGTTTTGGAAAGCAACTTCTTTCCTTGACAGCCCAGAGATCATGTCTTTCTCAACAGAGAGCTGTCTGAAGGCTACATTTCAATGCTGAGAAGTCATTTCACATACAACTCTTAAAGGTTCAAAATACAGATGAAAATAAAAGAAAAGCAGCATGACTGTGCCAGAGAACAAAAGCAATTCTTAAAGAAGCAAGATGAAGTATTATTGAATTCTATAGCCATACAGATGTTGGGATGAGAGGGCAATGGGATTTTTTAATGACCCTGATGTAGCTTTTCTGATAGAATATGAACATTCAGAGCAGACTGGATATCAGTCAGCAATACACTGTTTGGAAAACGAGGGCCTAATCTTGAGAGTGGCTGAGCACTTCTATGGGGTACTGAGTGCCTTCAGTTCCTTGTATGATCAAACCCCGAACATAGCAGTGGCCACAACAACCCAGGGAGAGAACTGCCAGTCAGAACATGATCTTAGATCAGCATCCAAAGCCACATTATGGTGTTCACAGCATCTCATCTAAGGTGCTTGAAGAACATTACCACTAACTGGTGATAGATAGCATAACTACACCCTAACAGGTGTCAAGGATATTTTGAGTATCTGATACATCTGATTATCTTACATTTGAAGGGAGACAGTCATGAGGATCTCAGAGCTTTTTTTCATCTCTAACTTCTACAGTCCAGGATTACCTTATACAAACCACAAGACTTACTTATAAGACTCAGATGTTTTAATCTGCCAGACCAATATTATTAATAAATGAATTCTTAAAGGGTTTTCCCTATTCACTGATTAAGATGGATAAAATTTCATTTTGTCAATGTTCAAATAAAACCAGTCTTTTGGTTTTGGAGCAAGCATGGGGGGGAAAACAAACAAACAAACCAGGTTTGTTTTAAAAGGGTAAATCTTTCAAATTTATTTCTTATCATATCCAACCATCGTCTATAGAACACTGAATATAAGAGACTCAATTATGCTTAAATTCAAAAGACCTCTTTTTCCAAACAGCTGTTCTCTTATGCACGGGCTGTATGCAAACACAAATTTCTCTCCAGTTACACAGGGTGTCCAAGCCTTTAAGGAATAATGTGCAGTGTTCTAACAATGATGTTGTGTTGCATATTACAATTCAGTAAGTTAAATGAAAGTATCTGCACACGTAAAAAAAAAAATCTGCTGAAGTGCAGTATGGTAGTTAAATCACAGTGTCCATAAGCCTCAGTGACCTAGAATCCTTATATTTGCCCTGGGAACCATTGCTCCCTTATGATGAATTCAGTGAAGTGGACTGATATGGACCAGTGGAAGTGACTATTCCTCCTACTTTACAGACAGAAACAAGTAAACAAGGCAGCATATTTCATGCCAGACCATGCTTTGTTCCCCACCCTGTTCAGCATTTCCCTCTGCAGTAACCAAGAGACTTTGATGGTGCTCATTACCTGTTTTGAGGCTGGGACTGAACTCTTGGCTAGTCCTGGGAGGCTGGAAGGCCTCCGGGGCTGTCTGTGCTGGAAGGGTTCGATATGGAGGAGGAGTCAACTCTTCATCACCAGAGAAGCTCCTCCGCACCCCACCTGCCATGGGTAGGCTCGACAAACTGACAGGCTTCTTCACAACTGGTATCTTCCTCTCTAAACATCAAGTCAAACTAAAGTAAACGCTTGGGTCAAAGTGAATTAGGTAACTCAGACTGGTCACTGAGAAATGTCTGCCTCATTCTGCTTCGGAGTCTGGAAAATAAGGGTCTTGATGTGAAATGGCAAAGTTAATTCATTTCGGGGATGTTAAAAATCCCAACTCTCAACAACTCCACCCCCCCCTTTTATTCTCTGAATTCTAGTGATTACTTGGACGGGCTATGAAGCAATCATTAAAGAAAAAGTGTCCCAACCCTAATCCCTTTTACCAATAAAATAGGAGCACTTCAAAGTGTTACTGCAGCAGCTGCATTTCACAGCCAACACTTGATCTCCTGACCACATACTGAAACAACTTTTGTCTCTAGATCAGAAGTGCAGTTATTAGATTTACACAGTGTGACAGGAATTTTTTTTGTTTGTGAACCAATCCCACTTAAAAAGGAGGAGTTGGGGTTTTTTTGCTAGTTCACTACATATATCTTAAATATATATACCACCATCACTTACTAAGCACTTCTATAGTGCCTTACAAATGTTAATGAGTATTCTAATTTGGAAAAACAAACAAACCTGTTTTTTCTAAAAAATCTTCAAGTTACCGGATACCACATCTTCATTCCAGAAGTTGATTTTCCCTCCAAACACTCAATTTATTCCTGCCTCATCATATAAGAAAACCCTACTTTGTTTTCACTTCCAAACAGAGGCCCTGGTCCTGAAATTAACTCTTGGAGGCAAGCCCCTGTGCCTAGGGGAACCTCACTGCAGAATCAGGGCCTTAAACGCTATGACAGCATTTCAGCATCACCATTGCTTACACTTGTTCTCAAAGCTACGCTGATGAATGCTAAGAGATTGCCAGTCTAATCAAGTAAATGTACTTTGGGCTAACACAAGAGAACAGCCCTCAAGAAAGCTTTGAAGTCAATGGGACTATTCGTGGTAAGAGTTACACATATGATTAAGTTTCTTGTCTAATCAGGGCATAGGCGACTAAGGGTTGGCAGGTCTGGGGCCTCAGTTTGTTCTTCTAGGAAGGAAGTGACACAATCAAGCAGCAAGTTGTCTGTATAACCAGAGCTTTAAAAAACAGATAGGTCACATCATCTATTAAGTAGTCTTAGAACAAAACCGATTACTAGGAAGCAGTCAGTCCTGGTGGATACTGTAAGCTACCATACTGTCATTATCTGTCAAAGCAAATTGATAACTTGTCATCACTGCGGTCTTTAGCAGCACAATATTTGGTCACAAGAAACCAGTATGATATTCCATCCATTTCAAGTTGACACTGAAATCAGAATGGTCTCCAAAACATTACAGGAGCATGCATAAGGTTTTAAAGATGGCAGCATTTTCCTTATTTGGGAATTATTGCAACCTACATCAAAACACACTGGCAAGACCAGAGAAAATTAGGAGAAATCCACTGTCTCATAATTACAGGGTCCTGTCCCTTCAAAAATCCTGAGAAATTCTGATGTGCTATAGTTCCATTTTAGAACAGAATAACCATCTACCCAAGGTATGTGCACAACAAATCCAACCTGATCTTTCCTACTGTGAATAAAAAGCAAGTATCAGTGATGGCTATATTGATAGATGAGAATCTAGTGACTGACCTGAAGATGCCAAACACAATGTAACTGTCACACGTTATTCCACATGCACACAATTACACATAAAACACATTGGATGTTATCACTGTAAAGTGGTGTCACCACAAAATATGAATGCTGGATGTTAGCCTACAGTAGCAGCAGAAAGTTCTGAGGAGTTAGAACTATATGACCTGATAAATGGATCTTGCAATGAGCTATACCAATCCTAGAAAGGATAAGAGTCATTTCTTTGCAATCCAGATGTTAGTGAAAGAGCCACTGTTCTCCATTGTATGCGGTTTGCATAGCAACATACAATTACCTGTAGGATTATTGAAGGTAAGGCCAAGCAGGATGCTGGCTGATTTCTGTTCCCCTTTCGATTATCTCCTTTTTCGGATATATTTTTAAAGCCACTTACAGGACTAACTCAGGCTGTATTACTTTACACATCAGTTAAAAAACCCTATAAAAAGCTTAGATTACAACAACTGAAGTCAAACAGACTCTGAAATCCAGTGTCAATGTAGATGTTAAATAATAAATATTAGAAGTTACCATTTTTCCTATGTGCTTCCTTTATATGAAATGGGCAACAAACATAATAAAAACATAAAAATTTATTGCTCCTAAATTTGTGCTTATTAACTCCTTGTAAGTCACATTAAAAAAAAAAACTACAAGCAGCATCTGAGCATTTATTTTCCCCAACCTAACATTTAAATGTTTTGGAATAAAAGCAAGACTAATCTCAGCACCAATGTACTTGCTTTTAGAAGCTTAAAACAAATATCAGACTTTATGTAATATTCTTCCGGGGAGTGGAAGGGGAGAAGTATTACACTGTGGGATCCATTTCCAGTTAAACTGCTCCCACCGTTCAACACTAAATCAGGGATTCACTAGTACATGTACTACTGTTTGCATTATTAAAGGTACTTCGGAACAATTTGGGACTTTTACTATTAACAGAGCTTCATTATCTCAGGAGTTCATTATATGCATGTTCAATGGAACCAATACTATTCGCGTACTCCTTCCAACCTCATGGACCCATTAAGAATTTGAAATATTGCATCAGAAATGTTTCCAATACACATTCAAAACATTCCGCAGAATGACTCAAGCCATTCTGGAGTGCAACATGAGTAAGTGCAAGTACCATGCATGTAAATAACAACTCATTGTAGTAAAAAAGTTACTCAGGATGTGTGGTAGTTTCTTGTTAAACCCCAGTATCTTGGCTGTTTTTGCACAGTGTGGGGAAAAACACACTAATATCACATAGATTTGTATGCTTCAAAAATGTTCTTTCCAAAACAAAATCCACCCCTTTCCCCAAAAAATTACAGGCCCAGGTTTCTTGGGTTAAGGACCTAACTGACAATATTTTGGTGGATCAGTGAAGGACTATTGTCTTATGTTATGAACTTCAACGCTGACATGAACTTTTAGCATTGTCAATTTATTTTCTGTAAAATTAAGATGAGTCCTCTCTGTGGGACATTCTAGCTCAGGCGAGCCAGTGATAATTGGTACCAACAATGAGATGTCCAAATCCCCTTTCATCACAAAGGGGATAATGAAAGACTTACAACAACAGCAGGTCCAGACTGAACAAGAAGCTCAGTGGACTGCCAGCAGCTAATCCTGGGAAACTTCTCTAGTGAGAAGTCAAGGTCTGAACTTGTTGCTCTGCCCTTCCAAAAAGGGCAGGGTGCACCAAAGCAGCAGGGCCTCCAGTAAGGAGTGACCAAGTTTTGTGCACCCTGTCACAGGTATCAGCACCACCAGGTTAAGGCCTCAGGGAGAAAAACAATGCAGATTTATGAAACATGCACATGATGTTAAGGAGGTTATGAAATCTTTTAAGAACTTTCCTCTCTGGCTAAGTACACACAATGAGGAAACTGGGAGTCGGATCACTCTTCTGTTCATCCCAAGAATGAGGAGACAGTGGATTGTAATGATGCAGGTTTCCTATGAAGAACTTGTTTGTTCTTGCACTAATTGTACAAGATCATCCAGGTCTTTTAGAAGGCTTTGCATGTCCTAAATGGTAAAGAAATTTGGCCAAAACTTCCTGCAATCTCAGCACCTGTCTGTCACAAGCCAGGCCGTGCACTTGAGAAAATTCTTGGCATCAGAGACTCAGATATTGTTTCAAGAGATCTGGAACTGATGGGAAATGTAACTGATCTTTGAGCACCAAATACTATGAGTTCAGCAGGCCTTATTGGGTGAGAAGATGAATACTCCTCTATTTACTGCCTTTGTATACATGGTGATTTATATGTGTACATAAATTCCTGTTAGCAGGCAACTTAAGAGGGCATTAATATGAATAAAAAGATCATTGTTATGTCTTCGGCTGCCACCTTCAAGGCCTTGAAAACTTGTTTAGATTCTTCAGAGAGACACTTGATCTGACAATTCCATAGGAAGGTAACTGAAGGAAGAATATATCTAGAGGATCATTCCACCTGATGTAAAAGGCATTTGGTTGTTATATCCCCGTTCACGTATCTGATGCAAAAACCACTGTACTTCCAAGGTTGCCTTGGGAGGCAAAGACACCTACCTGTAAAATAACCTTAACAACTTAAACAGAGACCAAAGAGATAGCCTCTTTAGGATCCTCTTGTACCAAATGTGTGGATTTCTTAGAGTGAACCAAACTGCACTATTATAGAGCTAGACAAACACATGCAAGGCTCTAATATAGTCAATGAATTCCTGTGCTCAGTTAGAAAAGCAAACCTTCTTTCAGAAACATCCTGGATCTTAGGCTGTTAATTTCAAAAATGCTCCCCCTCTCATGCAGACTCATATTTGGGGTACAGATTTTTTCTTTTGTTTCCTGGTGTGTTAGGAAGGAGAAACTATAAAAGACTTGAGTCACTTATCAAAGGATAGGGGTACATCCTGCACGTATGCTCTAGTCAGGTTAATTCTGTGTCCGTGATAAGACCAAGTTCGCAAGGGTTGCCGTCTCCATTCATTGGTAGAGAGGATCTGTTATGTCTTCCTAATAATGCCTCTGCTATTGGCAAAGCTCAGAAAAGCTAATAGACCCAGTGGGCCCAGCCAAATATGGTTGTCAATCCTGCTGCAGAAGACTAAACCAGTACCACTAGTTTGAGAGCCAAGTCTCAGATTATCACTCAGAATCAGGCTATCTTGCCCTATCTCCACCTATGAGTCCCAACAGTTTAGTTTGTGACAGCATAGTAATCAGCAAGCTTGATGTCTATGAGCAGAACGAGATACAGTTCAAAGCTGAAGAGGTCTGTGGTGAGATGTAGTTATGCCAATGTGATCTCTTGCTTGACAACCTTCTTTGTCCACCTCAATCTTAGATTATCTATATGGAAATATTTAGCAAATACTATGGCCTATCATGAACTAATCCAAGATAGGTTTCAGAGTAACAGCCGTGTTAGTCTGTATTCGCAAAAAGAAAAGGAGTACTTGTGGCACCTTAGAGACTAACCAATTTATTTGAGCATAAGCTTTCGTGAGCTACAGCTCACTTCATCAGATGCATACCGTGGAAAGTGTAGAACATCTTTTTATATACACACAAAGCATGAAAAAATACCTCCTCCCACCCCACACTCCTGCTGGTAATAGCTTATCTAAAGTGATCACTCTCCTTACAATGTGTATGATAGTCAAGTTGGGCCATTTCCAGCACAAATCCAGGTTCTCTCACCCCACCCCACCCCCCACACACACACACACAAACCCACTCTCCTGCTGCGTGTGTTTGTGTGGGGGTGTGTGAGAGAACCTGGATTTGTGCTGGAAATGGCCCAACTTGACTATCATACACATTGTAAGGAGAGTGATCACTTTAGATAAGCTATTACCAGCAGGAGAGTGGGGTGGGAGGAGGTATTGTTTCATGCTTTGTGTGTATATAAAAAGATCTTCTACACTTTCCACAGTATGCATCCGATGAAGTGAGCTGTAGCTCACGAAAGCTTATGCTCAAATAAATTGGTTAGTCTCTAAGGTGCCACAAGTACTCCTTTAATCCAAGATAGACTGGTGTCTCTCTATAGACCCTTATTGTCCATTTTGAGTGAAGACGTTCTTGGCGGCAGTGACTTCAGCTTGTACAGCAAGTTAAGTCCTGGTCCTAGCAACTGAAGTACCTTACATCAGATTTCACAAGGTACAAGATTCCTCGCCACAATGGTGCCAAAGCTTGCTAACATTCTTCCCATACCATTTTCAAGGCAGCATTCTTCTCCATATGCTCAATGGCAGAGTCCTTTGGGTTCTACCTAGCCCTTAGAAAGCCCACCTACTTTTTGTTTTTAACACTCTTACACGATGACTGGCCCTTTAAAGGGAGATGGATTCAGCCGCACCTGTGACTTACCCAGCTCATCTCTCCAGGTGCAGAAAAGGAACAATGTCACATGACATGGAGCACATGTGGCTAAACGAGGTCTTTGGGGTGGAAATAAAACAGAAGCGTGTGGAGAGAAGGAAAGAATCCAGATAGGAAGTCCTGGGAGTTGCTGCTTGATAGAGAGCAAGGAGAGACTCCAAACAGGCAAGAGAGCTGCATGAGCTCTCTTCACAGAGACTCTCCTTAGCTCCCGGGCACAGGGCCTCAGGAGCACAGAGAACAGGTACCAGCTGGGAAAGGTGGAGTATGGACAGCAAGTCTCCTAGAAGAAATCCTCAGCTCGAACAGGACTATGAACCCTGCACTAAGGTTGTGAGCCTGCTAGGAAGGCTGGATGGGAGTTCTTGTGAACTTAGTTAATAAACCCAGACACCAAGAAGGGGTGTTACTTGACACATGGAAGCTTACGCTAAAGTTACTGGGGAGCCCAAGAGGGGGAAACTGTGGCAGTGGCTAGTCTGAAGATAGGTGAAGTAGGCAACATTGCTACAGACTCCAAATAATTGGGCAGAGCTGATGCCAAGAGAACTACATCTAAATGGATGTCTGATTGTATTTCACTCTGTTGTAATATGGCTGGCGTGAAACTAGGGAGGCCATGACAAGGCTCACTTGTTCTGAAGTGCATTTCCACTGCAGATACCTACAATGCAGCTGGATGGCCTTCTCACCACACATTTACAAAACAGTATTGCTTTCATTTGAGAACTCTCCATGCTACAAAGCATGTTTTCAAGATAGATAAGAGAATTTGGCTTCCCCCTTCAAAAGACGTTTATTTCAGGGTGCTCCTCATTTTAAGTTAATTAATCACTGCATGCAGCGTTGGTTATTCATCACCTTGTGCATACTTGAACTTTGTTGTCCACTTGAATATTTAAAGAGATATCTTAGTCCTCTTTATAGATTAAAAGATCCTTGGCATTGACCTTGTTATAGTTGCCTATTGCGGCCTCACCAACTTTTTCTTTTGGGAGATTCCTCTTCCATGACTCAAGTATTTTTGATACCAAGAATCTACAATAGTGAAATACAAGGTTTGGTGTTTAACCGAGATAAACAGGGATTGAAAATCATCTAATTTGTAAACAAGTACAGTCAAAACATTGTTTTCTAGTTATTTATTGAAGAGGATTTCTGATAAACTCAAAAGCTGCTCTGCAAATGCAAGCTATGTAAAGGGTCAAATTCAGTAGGTAGGTCTTCTTAACACTGTCCCTTCTCCCATCCCCGCAGACTTGATTTTTCTGCTGAATGAATTTTAAAGGAATATCAGAGCCTCAAGGAGGCTAGAAAAGTTTAAAGTAGGAGGTTACAATCCTCGTTAGGAAGCGTTCAGTAAAGTTTTCAAAAAACTTTCTTTGTGGAGCTTGCAGATCATGCCTACCTCACAAAAGGTATGAGGATTAATGTTTGTAAACTTTGCTAAAGATGGCACACCCTATCAGCAAGAAATTAATTGTTGTATATGCTCTTACGTAGAAATATTTTGAATTCCAGCTTTTTCCCAGTAAAATCCTAACAATTTCACTTCAGAGTGAAAATGTAGAACCCGACAACCTAAATGGATTGAACTGTAAATTAGAAATGTCTTGTGTCTTTAAGCTACACGTTGTGGCTGCAATAACAGCAGTTAATTTGATTAATGTAAAGAAAAAATGTTCAAGCTTATTAGGAACTTGCAAGTAGTAATAAGGGCCTTTAAAGCATATTTAAAAAAAAAAAAAAAAAAGTAAAAAACCCAAACACTTCCTTTTCCTCCAAAATGGAGGTGCCAAAGGCTAGAGAGCTTTCTTAACTCTAGAAGTATTCAATGCTTCACACTTAAACGAACTCAAGATTACAAAACAATGAACTGGTAACTCCGCAGGAAGACATTTGAATAGACCAGAGTCAGAGAAGACAGAGCTTAATGGTAGTAAAGGTGTGATGATCAAACTTGGAATTTAAGCCTGGTGATAAACCCTAGAATCAGGGCTCTACACCCTGGATCTCTTCCAGCACTATGTTAAGGGCGTCATGCAGCTCTTAACCACCTAAGTCTGCCAACTTGTGGGCAAGTCATGTCCTGTGTCAGCAGAATTGCCCACTTCCTAATACAAGGGCCTCGCTGGCAGCCAACATGAAGGCAACTGGACTGCAAAAGAGATGGTTTGCAATCCACAAGGATTAAAAATTGATAGGTTTGCATTCTGCCTATACTTGCAGTTAATTTTGTCCACTATATCTTCAGCACAAAGTATCAGCTGCTATTACAAAACACGTTTCTCCTACACCAAGGAAATACCACCTCTTGCCAAGGAAATATCAAGAATGTGAATAGTGGCAATGGCTTAGTGCTCCAGGAATAAGTAGGCTGTCTTCTAACTAGCGTCTCTTATTACGACACTATAGAATTGGCTCTTCATTCTTATTAGGCAGATAAATGAACTCCTCTCACTGTACGTGGGTTCTTCTCAAACGTTTTAAAAATTAAGTGTCAGCTCTGCTTAGATATTCAAGATGTTGTGGCACTTATTTATTTTTTTAAATAAGGAGCTTGCCCTGAGTTCTTGTATAAAATTTATCGTCTTGCATAAAAATTTGCCATGCACCATGGGTTGGTGCTATCCTCCACTGCTCTCTTTCAGAAGCATCCAATCTTTTGAAAAATGCCTTGGCATCCTTTGGAATAAAAGGGGCAATGTGAATTTAAGATAAATATAGATGGATCTGATCTCCAACAAGAAAGGGTAGAAGAAAGCACAAAGTGCTCTTGTGATTGGCTGTCTCTACTCCCTTTGTTAGGGACAGAAAATAGCTTTGGTTTGAAATAGAGTCACAGAAATAGGAATAGAGGGGGAAGGGAAGGTGCATTATTGTAACTTAAAAATTAAACAGATTTGTTTGAATTTTTGAAGAAAACAAACAATTTGCTCCCAGGGAGACACTACAAATGTGGAAAGGATTTGGACAGTTGTTAAATCCCTAGTATTTTAAAAAAAAATGTAATACTATATACTCATTGACAAGAGTAGTCAACTATAGCAATATTACTAAGTACCTTTGTAAGTAACATTATTATTAAGAGCTTTCTACTGTTGCCCCACACCCTAAAAATTGATAAACTTGTCAATTTAAAAATTAGTATTGTTTTGCAAGAGGAGACAAATTTTAGTTTTATGAAGTAACTGAGGACGATAGATTGCCCTCGGTTTTCTACATCTCATTTACCATCTGGTTCAAAACAACCTTCATCTTATTTCTACAGCTTTGCTACAAAAAAAAAGAGTTAAAAAGCGAACAGCCATACATATATGAGCAGTTTGCTCAAGACTGCTTTACTATATCTTCATGCTTATACAGAATTCCTTACCTAAAACTGGTTTTAGGAGTATCAAAAATAATTTAACTTATTTGTCCATGAACAATATACACAGAAGTTATGAACAATATCAATCCTCTCAAAACCACTTACTTTCCATTTGATTAATTTGCTGCAAGTTATAAAAAATAATGTTTCTCAATTAATAAAAGGCCTCCTTTTATGGCATACTGCACCTTTAAGCATAACACTTATTCACACACAAGCAACGTTTCCAACCAGAATAGTTTGAGACAAATTGCACAACTTTGTAACAGCTGCGAAAGGGCATATAAGCACCACTTTGTCACCCACTTTTCTTGTGTCCTTTGTACTGTTGTGACTTAGCCTTTTTCTTTTGCTTTGATGAACTTGACTGGCTATCTCTTGATGCTGAAAAACATTAAGAATTAAAATTCTGAATTAATGCTTTGGGAAAATACAGCACAGTCTTTCATGCTAAGGAAAATTCACAAAAAAATGTTTTCTTCAATGAATGAATGAATGAACGAACGAAGACAGAGCCTCTGTTAAACAGAACACATTCACAGAAGAAAAATCCTCTACTTGAACAGCACCCATTCCAGTAGCCCCTGGAACACAATTACCCATATCATGTTTCCTGACCTAACAGGCTACAAATAATCATCTCATCCATCATTATGGGACAACACACACTTGCTGCAAGAGCCATAGCTCTGCTCCTTTGAGCAATTAGTTATTCATAGCAATCATTTTCCTGACTAGAGAAGTACAGCTGATACATCATAAAACAGAGTCTTGCTGCCACTCTGATTTCACATAAGACAAGAAGAAAGTTGGGAGGAAGGGGAGGAAAAAAAAAGATGGAAACAGAAAAAGATTAGAAAACCAGACACACAAAGAAGATTTACATACGAAAAATGGACACAAACACACAAATTAAGTCAGAAATAAATAGAGAGAGAGAGAGAGATAAAAAAATTCAGACTACAAAGAGAGAAATTATTAAAAGAATGGGAAGAGGCAAGATCAAAGAATGAAATAAAAGAAATGGAGCAAAAATAAGCAATGGTAAGGCAGACTAATAGGAAAAACACTGAAAGAATAAACTAAAGTAAAACATTCCAAATCAGCCATAACCTGTAATATGTATTTTTATACTCCTCCAGTATGTTTGTCTAAACAAAGAAGAAGAAAAAAAACCAAACCTGTCAGTTGACAGAACTGATTTCATGTATTCCTGAAAGCCTGCCAACATTTAAAGTATTCAAATCATAAGCTGCCAGCTACACTAAGACAGCATCTGGTGTTTACATATTCACTCTCCAGGCTCTGGACAGGTTTATGGGACTGAAAAGCCAGGTATAGACACACAAGCAGGCTGTCTGGGTTCTTTAAATTCAATCAGTGCATACTACAAGATCCCATATTGCAAACACTTGTGCATGTGAATAACTTTATGCATATGCACAGTACCACTGATTTCAATGCATAAAGTTACTAACACATGTTTGCAAAATCAGGGCCTCTTAATGTAAAGTGCCATGCAAACTGATTGTGCTATAAATGATGAATAATGTTGTTATCTAGGCCTGATGCTTAAGCAGTCTGCTTCTTCTCTGGCCCAAACAAACATCTGTTAGCCCCAGGATTTAAAATAAACAGAGCACAGCCATGCAAATGCTCTGAAGTGCTTTATTCGTTATACAGGTGAAACAGATTAGAATGGTGTGCTTCTGAGAATTAGCAAGGGTCTAGTCCATTTTTTGTTGCAGCTGGCTACCCAACCCAAAAGGGTAAAGTTACGAGAATGACCACACATGTATAAACACTGGAAGGCAACTGGTAAATTTTAGATTTAAAAAGATGCAAGAGGAATCATTTACAAATGCATAGCAACTTACTTTGTGGTGCTGGAGGCTGTAGTTGATATCCAGTTAATTGGCACCACCCTACAGGATAGAGGTCAGGGGACTCGCAATCCACCCACTGATCATATTCTTCTTCCCAGCCATCAAAATGTATCCTCAGTAGACGATGGATGATGCGGGTTACGGTGGCCACACATACAAGGCGTGGTTCCATAAGATCTACAGCCTCCAGTTTCATTCGAATGTGAAACCCATGGTTTGGAACTTCCTGAAAAGGAGAACGAAGCAAGACAGCCAAATATCAGGAAACCAAGTCTAACATCTTACTCTACATGAAGTTTAAATACTTCATGGGGGCTGCTGTTTCAGTCAAGTTAAATTTCAAATGGCATTATTCGGATGGTGAAAGCGAACATGGTGAAATACCAAGGTATCGTCTATGTAATTTAATGTGCTCCTATTTTTTCCATAGTAACATTTTTTTCAGAGTCTGAAATATACAAGCTGAATGCACACAAATTCTAAGAAACAATTTCCCTCCTCTTCTACTAGACATTTTTCAAAGCATACTCACATGGACTTTGAAAATCACTGTCTCTGGTTTCACGAACAATTAGCACGTAAGTGAAGAAACATATTTAAGACAGTTGAGGAGACTGATTAACCTTATGGGACCAAGCAGGCAGGAATTTACAGCACAAAATCCACTGTAAATAGCACACATGCCGTACAGTTGGCTTTACCAATGATTTATCTTACCTTATTGAAGAGTTTTACAGGTGCTGCTATAGAGTCAGTTTCCCTGAGGTAGTCAAACCATTTGAAAGGGAGTTTTGCATAACCTGTGAATTTTAAATAGTACCTTCGTACATCAACTGCAAACTTTGTTCATTTAAAAACAACACTGTCAGTGCTACATGGTCACTAAAAACACAAAGAAGCTAGACACGAATATCAAAATATTTTTCTCAATTTGAGTTTTTGCTCCATATTGGGTTCCACACAAATCAAACGAGAAGAAAACCTCTTTAAATGCGATAACAGCCTTTTTATAATGATATGAGTGACTAAAGACAAATCTGCAAAATCATCTACTCTTTTCTGAGGGAGAAAAATAATTTTATCCTTGAAAAGTTGGATTTATTTGGAGAAGACTGGCCAAAACACAATCAATGAAATAATGTTTTTAAAACATAGATCATAGGGTTAGAAAACGTAGCAGCAGAGGTAATGAAGGGCTTCTCTCCACCTTGTAAACTACAGGAGAGAACTGTTTCTCAATAATGTATTTAACGTTTGTTTAGTCTATTGAACTTTCACGGGATAGAGGACTGTTTTGGGGCAACTTTTCCCTTCCGACAGCTTCTTAGACCAGAAAGTCTCAACTTTTGTCCTGTGGACCAACAATAGTTTGCAGATTTCTTTGTGGTGGTCTGTGTAATTAAACATTCTGAACACAAAGAGGTGATGGGGGCTTGGAGTGATGGGATGGAAGATAGTCCCCATAAGATTTCACTTAAAAAGTGGTGTGCAGAATAACAATAATAATAACTAAAAAAAAAAAAAAAAAAAAAAAAGAGAGAGAGAGAGAAAGCCACTGTTTTAGTCCAAGCTGCCACTTTGGGTCACAGCTCAATATTACAGGGCTACATTCCTCAGACATATAATTAAACTTCAACACCAAACTCCAGTCCCAATCCTGAGAGGTTCCAAGTGTCCTCGACTTCTACTGACTTCACTGGGAGCCAAGAGTGCTCTTCGCCTTACAGGATTGAATCCTATGTTTTAAGGCCCCTTTTCTCATATTGTAAAATTTCAAGCTAACAAGATGAATACGGAAAGGGTGGCAGCAAACCAAGTTCACACCACCCTCATAAACAGATGTGTCTGACTGGCTGCAGATTCAAGAAAACAAGGCAAGAGGTGCACATAAGAATTTTTTTTTTTTTGTTAACATACAGAGATCTTCAAAAACAAGTTCAATTTTTTTTTTATTTTAAACAAACGTTATCTAATAAATCCTCACAACAAGCCTATGGGAAAGATGGGAGCAAAGGAAGTCCATCCCAGAGCTAAGATTAGAACTCAGGACTTCCAGTTCCCAGCTCCATAATTTAGCCACTAGAACACACCTCTCACAGGTATTAAAGGGGCTCTGATCATTATAATAATGCACTGGCTTCAGAAATAATGTAACCTACTAAGAAGGTTAAAGTTCTATAACATTCTCACTGCTGTTTGTTAGTCATACACAAAACGAAATTTTACAAAACTGAATATGATTTATAATAATAACAATCCTGTATCATCCATTGGTAGACTATCAAGAATTCTAAAGAGAGAAAGTGAAGAAATGCAGACAAAAGCAGAAAAGGAGGAGAGCTGCCACGATATAAGAAACAAGGCAGTATATTAAATGATAACAACAGAAGTTCACCTTCTCTTGTAGGTTCAGTGATCAAAGAACAACATTTACTCACGATTCTTCAAAGACAGGCATCTATCATTTATAGTGTATTGTCCATTTAAAAGTCTGGTTTTACCAGAGTGTGTGCAGACATACATTTTGTCATTATTAAATTTTCATTCTGTAAATGACTCCGAAATCTCTTATTTTTTGGAGGGGATAGAAAGCTTTCTTTTTTTTTCTTTTTCTTTTTTTTTTTAAAAAAAGCACAGGATGGACTATGTTTTTGGCAGGTCAGATTATCCCCAGGATTTTCTCTGCAGTAATTCCACTGAATGTTACAGCTCCAGTAAGCAAGGGTAAATCTGCTCAGCTACCGATTCGCCAAATGCTAAAAGCCAACAGATTCTTGTCAGCTAATGGGAACGCTATGAAATGTTTTTCATTTTGTTGCAGGTACAACTGTCAGTACACTCAATATTCAGAAAATCTCTGCACTCAGTGCAATAGAAACTTGCACTTACCAGTAATATAGGCTCTTCCCCCCCCCCTTCTCCTTCCAATAATTTAGAGATTTTGAATGAATAGGGACAGACACAAAATTCTTACCAAAAAAATAAACAAACAATGAGCACCTATCATCTACTATGATGCAATTACCGATGCCGCCCTTTATATGTTGCTAAAGCAACATAATAAAGTTTAGAGATGAAGCCAACAGAAAACCATCTGCAGACATGTATAATGGTGTTCAGGCAGTTTTGCTCACAAAAATCATTCCTTAGGCCTTGTTCAAAAAATGAACCCCTCCCACTCTGATGGATACTGGTATGAAGGATAAATTTATGCGCATTTTAACAAGAGAGAATAATTCATCATGCCCAATGAATAATCCTGCAACACTTCGCAAAGCTTTTAATATGGACAATTGCTCTGTCACAATTCCAGTCCTCTGCTGGCCCAAGACTTCCTAGCATTGATATTCTTGACATAGCTCTAGAAGTGCTCTGCATATCTCTCCCCCCAACCCCCACATTGATTGATGCTGAATATAACTAATTTTACTCAATAAAAGTTTAGTTACATAATGGCCATATTATACCTTTAATGTTTTTGTAGTCAAAACAAACCTCATTTTATTTGCCCATGAATTAAAGAAACATTCAATTTGGGCTCTTCTATACATTGAGTTTGACATCCCTGTTTCAGACCATTTTAAAGTAGTGCTGAAGTTTGTTTTTGAAAATCAAGATGGTTCTGAATATGAAATGAATGCTTCAAAATGATTGAAGAAACAAAGAATCTGATTATATACAATACCACTGAAAAATTATCAAAATAGAAGTTGGTCGGAATAGTGTAGGTACCTCTGGGTGGAGTTAGCTCAATCGCATTAATTTCACAGAAACCAACAGGAAAAATAGAAGGGGAGGTGGCATGGTAACAAAACCAGTCAGATCCGTCTGCTGCTTCTGAGCCATCAATACCGATCATTAGATAGCCATCTGCTAACACCTTTGTAAATAAAAACAATATTGTACATTAAGCACCTTTATACTCCGTGAAGGCCAGGCTAAAAATTAAGTAGGTCATGTTTCAAAGCAGAGTAAGAAATGAAACAAATGATACACAAATATGTATAAGGAACACTGTCAACTTAAGAAAAAAGTCACTTCTCTCCAACATTTTTTGTTGTATATGCTATTGTGATCATTAACTGGCAATATTAATAGAAGAGCGAGATTAGAGACTATTTTAGTTTTCAGATTTTTTCCTTTGTGTATTTGACAGTGCTTTGTGTAGTATCTTTGTAAAGTTTGTTTCTTTTCTAGCTTGTGAGGATCTTTCACACAGCAAAAAATAAATAAATAAATAAAACAAAAACAAAAACAAAAACTATAAAACCAAAACACTGGAAAGAATATTTTGGGGCAGATGTATTATCCAAATCTTTTGTGAGGGATTAGATTGTCTGCAAAATAGCCAGATGAGAATTAACAAGAGGTTCCACTGCACATTAACTTTCACAGGCATACTGTTTGTCAATCAAAGTTCAGGCTGGAATTTTGAATGTTCATGAATGCCACATACAGGTACTTTTCATCTGCCACTATATCAATCATTCATTCTTAATACCCCAGTAACAGGAAAGTAGCTAATTAATGGAAGCCACTGGTAAGCATTCACAAATTGCACACATTATCCTTTTATTGAAAGAGGTGGATGTGGAAGAAGCAGACAGGAGTACATGCTGATGACCAACACATTGGTTGCTTTTTTAAAATCTTGTTTTAAATAAAATATCAGCCTTTATTAAAAAACATTTTTAGCAGCAGTATTGAATACAGAAGACTGGAAATCGGATTAACAGGCTTCATGTCCCGATCTCCCACAAAAATATAAATTAATTCTCTTACCTTCCTAATGGTTGCAACACATATTGCAGACAGGTTTAAGGGATCGATAGCCTCCAATTTCATTCCCTCCTTGAACCATTCTCCACTTGGATCTACTTCTTTTACCTAAAGATTCATACAACAGCATTACACAGCTAGCTGAGGTGACAAGAATAACTGATGTGTAAAACAACATAACCACACCCATGAAACAAAGTTTGCAGCAAAAAGACCAAAATACGTCTCAAACTCAGTCAGTTTTACTTACATCAAAATAAAATTAAAAAAAAAAAAGTAATTTCCAATAGCGACAGACCTTTGTACAGTAATTTGGTATAATTTCTCATTTATGCTTTGCCTTCAAATGATGAAAAATTCCTCTTCCAACTCTGAGTAAATGTAAATGATCTTAGAGTTCTCATTGGCAAGCTTACCTTTGCAAATAAATGTGGGGGTGCATCATAATGTCCGTCCTGTTTCTTTGTAATATCTAAAAGGGACAGTTACATTATTAATCAGTAAATTTTTACGAAGAGACTAAGAATGCCCCAAAAACAAACACTTTTTCCTGACATTGTACCATTTAAGGTAGTCAGAACTTTACAAACATGTGGGCCCGAAGTGTATAAGCAGGCCTTCACAGTATGCCAGCTAGACAATTTGGGAATAGAGCTCAAATCGTGCAATTTATGTATTTTGAGGACACTGGTGGACAAGAAATATGACTGCATTCAGAGAACACTAATACCCAGAAGGCTTGACTATAGCACAAAAGTGTCAGTGAAATATATAAGCTTTTGCAGAAGTTTGACAAGTCAAACTCGTTTGCATTCACAGTAGAGTTAAAGCAGAGAACTGACAAATTGAGGACTTATACACATATGTGACTTCAAGGCTTAATATAATTAAACTTTGATTTAAAACATCTTGGTATTCTAGTCATGCTGTTTGTTACCTCATTTGTGTACTAGAAATTCTTATTTTTGAGATACATTTTTGTAGTGTGGTGGGATCCATAGCTCTGATAGGATCCTATAGCAGAGGAGCTGCCTGATCTTTGCAGCAGTTTGCAGCTACTGGTTGGATCCTCTTCTCTGAAATAAATTCCAGCAGCTTTGTGAAAAGCTCTTTTGTCCACTTCCAGGAAGCAGTCGTGAGTATGATTTCTTTTAACTGCTTCCCTTTTATTTTTAATATTGATTTCAATGAAGGTTTCCAACCATAAAAAATACTGATATTTTAGTGTCCAAAGCTGATGCAACATGGAGCTTTTTTATTCCTTTTCTATGTTACAGATGAGTGGCTTATGTGCAAAAGAGCAAAAAGATTCTTAGCAACAGACAATGTTCATTTATCATTAAGAAGATCACAAAATATTTAAAAAATAGAAATGTTTTGATTTTAGGTGATGAAAACTCCACTACACATCTGTCAGCCTCTACTTTTCTGTCCCTCTTCTGACAGCCTCTACAATTCAGTTACATGTTGCCATACAAAAATATGAAGCACACCCAAAGGATGACGTCACAGCAAAATAAACTGAATTAAATCAACACCACAAGTGATACTTGTGCTGACTTTACTGTACCATGTAGGTGGTGGCAGCTGGTGAGGCAGTGCTGTATAATTCCAGGGTTGCCAGCAGCAAGACATGCTAAATACATAGAACATTGGGCTTTGTGCACAGAAGCCATTGTTTACTCTAGCCTATATTGTGAACATTCCTAGATACGGTCTCATGGATGGTGCCTCATTAAAGTTTACTTGAGCTCTTCCAAACCCTGAAGGAAACACTGATGATAGTTCTTAACTAAACCATATGGAATGGAGACCTAGTGGCTGAAAAGTCTTGATTAGCATCAATGCATACGTTTTTGAAGATATAATTACTTGAATTAAAAGCTTTTTCAGCCAGATTACTCCTTTTAGCCAAATCATTGCATGAAGTATCTTTCACGTAAGCCTCTACCCAGCCACTAAGGTGTCTTTGCAACACAACTTGCTTACCAGATCTTTTGAAGCGATGTCCTATACTTCGGGACCAACCAATGTGATGAATGAGTGGGCTGTACATATGGCACCAGAAATCATCATTTTTGTCTTCACTTTCTTCATATACCAATCTTAGTCGTCCTCCAATTACACTGTCTACAACTGCTACCCGTGTTCGACAGAGATGCGTTTTGTCAACAACTTCTACTCTCATGGAAGGTTTGAAAGGATACTGCATACCTTCTGACACCTTAAAATAATAGGGAAAATGTTTAGTCACCTGTCATCTGCTATTAAAGAATCTTCCACTAAATTTAGTCTCCAGTTTCTTGGCTGCAAAAACCACCATGAAAATTTTCTCCTGTCTATATCAGGACGATGTAATAATGGTAAAATCCATAAAGTGAACTTCTCACAAAAAATATCCTGGAATGGTACAGCTATATTATGTAAGGAAGCCCCTTATCCAACTCCCACTGAAGTTAATGGAGTGTTTCCATTGACTTTACGGGGAATTTGCTAGGTCATCAGTGATTGATAACAGTATCTTGCAGAGCAACAGTTAATTTGTAATGTGAGATGAAGACAAACCAGTTTTTGTTTATTTTTCCTATATACACAAAGTGCAAGATTTTTTAAAAATTATGAGGAGTCTGGTGACACCTTAAAGACTAAACAGATTTATTTGGGCATAAGCTTTCGTGGTTAAAAAACCCACTTCTTCAGATGCATGGAGTGAAAATTACAGACGCAGGCATAAATATATTGGTACGTAAGGTAACTCCTTTCTCTTCACGTGCCAGTATATTTATGCCTGCATCTGCAAATTTTCACTCCATGCATCTAAAGAAGTGGTTTTTTTTACCCATGAAAGCTTATGCCCAATAGATCTGTGAGATTTTACGGTGCCATCAGACTCCTTGTTGCCTTTGTGGACACAGACTAACACGGCTATCCCTCTGATTATTAAAAATTATACATCACAAGCTTGGACACAGATGTTCTAGCCCAGTGGTTCTTAACCTATTTATCATTGTGGGCTGAATATGTGGCCCACAAAGGGTTACCTGGGCCACAGGTTGAGAACCACAGTGACCCCCACCTCACCCCCTCCCACAAACCCCTATGCTCATCGCCCTCTGCCCAGAGACCTCCCCACAGAGTGGGACCAGGAGTGGAGAGCAGGGCATGGGGCAAGGACCCCAACCCAGGACCCTGCTGCACGGGGACCCTGACTCCCACCATGCAGGCTTGGGGGGCAGCCAGGACCCGAACCCCACCGGGCGGGGCCGGATGGCTGGGAGCCCGGAGCCCCACTGGGCGGCAGGGAGCCCGCAGCCTTTAGCGCAAAGCTAAGCAGGGCCACAGCTATGTGCTGATTGGGCTGCACCGCTGACCTAGCCACTGAAGAGGTAAGGCAAAGGGAGTAGCTGCAGTTCTATCTTCCTCCACAAGAGGGGCAAAGTGCCATTGCAAAACAGTTCAAATCCCCACACAGTAATGAGGCTGTGTTTATATTACATCATTAAAATCACATTACCTTACCTTCTGAGAAAAGTCAGGAGGAAGAGTTTTGGCACCAGTAAGTCGCTTCACTAGAAAAGCTTTCCAGTTTGTGTATTTGTGTTGGATTGCTGTTGCAAATGAAGGGAGGGAAAAAGTCAATGATTACTAATTAAGTTAATCTATTAGTGATACAAAGTTAAAGTCAGTATTTAACAATATACGATTGTTAAAATACTGAATGAAAATATCAGAATAATTAAAACGTATCAAAACCTTAAAGGCTGAATTCTGCTCCAGTTTCACAACTGTATGTGTGTATATCTTGGGGCAGAAGTTGACCTCAGATTTTAATAAAGAATAGATTAAATAAAATAGAGTATGCTTTAGCAACTGATTAATTTAATTACTTAAGATCTGATCTTAATCACCCTTATTCACACGAGTAAGGGGTATTTCCTGAGAAGGTTGGCAGGATCAGGTCCTCGTTGACCCATAGGCAACAAGTTTTATTCACAACTTTAGACATGATTCATAAATGAGAACCAGATCAATTTGATATCTGAATCACAATTAAGTCAGTTAAATACAAAGTGTAGAAGATTACAATCTCTACTACTGAATCAGGAGCGCTAATATTTACATACTTCTAGGTGGGACTAGAGGCTTCCCACTAGTTGCACACCAACCAACTGGATGGATGTCAGACCCACACACGTTGCACCAGAAGTCAATGCTTGAATCGTTTTCAAACCCTTCATATCTCAGCAAAGCATTGTAGCCTGAAAGAGAGCAATCCCATGTTTAAAAGCTATAGCTGAGTGAAGTTATAAAAGATTAGACTTACATTATGCTGGGTGGAATACTATTAAAAAATTCAGTGGACCACATGATTCAGAAGCTGTCTTGCTTGACTTTAAGGTAATTTAGTATCAATGCAAAAGAATAAAAACATTATGAGGCACTATACATGTGTATCTGATATGGTAGGAAAATCTGTATATCACATTTGAGATATAATATATGACCTTATAATTGAAGACTGTTGCATTGCAAAAGTAGTTCAATCATAATTTTCGCAGTCCTTGACTTTTGAGTGTTTAGCTATGTAACCTTTAACTTTGTATTAACCTGTCTTTTTACTAAGAAAGAAGATCAGTAATGGAGTTTACGAGTTCACTGATCTGGAGCTATTTGATTTCATATTTCCTGATCCTGAATCATCCATGATATGTGGAAGCTGTTCCCTCAAAACTGGGCCAACGCAAAACAGGCCCAACCAGCAGAGTTTAACACCTGAACAAGAGAAAAACTGAGGAATTTGGAAGCTCGTCAGGTGGGATTTTCTCTCCCTTATTACCTCTGCAAGGATAAAGATTCATACATAATCTGTATGTGGTGAAAAGCATCTTCAAAGAAAACTGTTGATACTAGAAGCTTTTATATAGACATTTGCTAAATGATTAGTTTAGGATCCAGTGCAGTGAAGTAATAAGCACCTTCAATTCCCACTGAAGCCAACTGGAGTTGAAGGCCCACAGCACATCAAAGGAGACAGTTGCAACATCTTACAACATTTATCTTAGTGTTATAGCTCTGAGGGGCAGCCCACTATTGCTCTCAAAGACAACAACAAAGTTCTCACTGACTTCAGCTGGAGGAGTAGCAGGCATTGGGTTAGTTATTACTTCATATGCATGACTAAACTTTCAGCTAAATCTGTTTCTCTTTTAAAACAACCCTTCCCTCCCAAACACAAGTAGATTATAGTACTCACAGAGAACACTGAATTACTTTCCAGATACTAGTATGATAGCTTCTTAAAGCCCATATTTATCTCTACACATCCTACTTTCTTTTAAAAGAAATTGCTCAGTTCCCTGAATTGTGAATTCTCCAATACAATTATAATTGCAATCATTTTGATACAAATGATCTGAAAAAAAAAAAAGTTAACCTGCTAATTTCACAATTCCAGCTATCCAGAAGACTTTGGTAGGTAGGCTGCAGTCTGTGTTCGGAACTTCTACTCGCACTCCTTCTGAGATATCACCCCAGCACGTCCCCATGGGTGCCTGTCATTTAAGTTGGTGGGGGGGGGGGAAGAAATCACATCTCTTTATTCCATTTGAAAGTGAAATATTCATTTTTGTTTTATTAAATCTTTATCAATGACCTTCAAAAACTCAATACAAATGATACACACAAACACATATTTAGAGAATTAGAAGTCTCTCTGAAAAATCAAGTTTGGTTTTCTTCTCATAATTTATAAGGAATTTTGTTATATAATTACTACTGCTAGAATAATTCAGCAGTTCTGTGACTCTCAATTTAATAGTTGCAAAACACAAGCACTAGTAAGTGATACATACTTTCAACCCAGCATCATTCCACAACATGTTTCAATCCAAAGCTAGGATCTGATCTCAGGGACACCGTTGTAAATCTTTGGATTTATACATGTGCCACAGATATAACAATCTGGCCAATAGTCTCTACAGCAGTAATTTCTTGTCAGAACATTCCTTGAATCTTTTCTGCAGATTTAACAGGATGGGTATTATCTCTCACTGCTTAATGCAGTTCACATGCCTTTCTAGGAATGGGCTTTCACATGGCCTTCAAGTGATCGTCTCATCAGTTAACAACGAGAGATGCAGTCTAATTCATGTGAGTCGTGCAGCTGACTATCCATAGGAACTGCACAGCTGGATTCCTCATTGCTTTGAAAGTTTAGACTGACGTATTAGCAACAACAACAACGAAAGTCTGAATGGACTTTAAGGGTTTTTGGAAAATTGTAGATAGAAGCCAAATGTCCTTTTACATTCAGTTCATGAAGGAAAGTTTTATTAGGTTGGACATGAGGAAAAGATACTTGATCGATAATGGACTAGTCAAAGGAGGTGTTGTGGGAACAGTGAAAGTGTGTGATGCTGAACAGTCACTAGAACTTATAGTTCACTAAGCCAAGGGTTATTAGCAGCAGAATCAGAATCGTCCATGTAAAAAGTTACAGCTTGCCACTATCACATAATGCAACTAGTAGCTATGTAGTTATTGAGAATAGTGTTATCACATCACATGAAAATAGAATTGTCTTAAGTTTCTCCGTTAAAGGACAGCGAGACTACCCAGAAACAGGTATTCAGATTTTTGAAAATTCAGAATAGTGGCCAAATCCACACCAAAAGACGTACTGAGAAGAACAGACCCTGATCAGTGCAGACAGTATCTAAGCAGATTTTGTGTGGGCAAATGACAGAATTTACTTGTTTTGTACCACATCAGGCAGCAAACATCTTTCATTTAAGGCTCTATGCCTTTTTACTAGTCTCCTTGCAAACACAAAGGACTTGAACACAATTCACTGGAAAGACCACAGTGTTCAGTCCCCAGCCTCTCAGAAGCCAAGCTGTGAAGGAGAGGGAAAGAAGAGTTGCCCTAGTTCTGAACACTTAGACTGTGCAAGTCTGGAAGACTGCTGGAGATCAGCTGTGGCCACGTATTGGCAGTGAACATCAAATTTTTCACTATGGAGAACACAGGATACCCTTACTACTCAGACTATTGGAGGACAGACATGCATGAACTGTTTTCCCCAGTAAGGGAAGACATGGCCATTACAAATATGACAAATTTATTTTTCTTGAAGCCTGGTCTCTATGTTCTACTCTATCTCCTACACCATTCTAGACTGTAGGGCTCTCCCTTTGGCCATTTGACACAGAGAAATAACTTGAAGGAAGACAGTTTATTATTTATGTATAAACAATGCAATTTTCTGCAGTTAGATTTCTCCATCTAGGAGAATAACCCAATCCAGCTACTGTTTAGTCAGCTCTGAGATATTGTTCTTTCACTTGGACTTTTTAGAGAGCTCTTCTTCTATTTAGCTTTCAATGTGGTCCTACTACGTATCATCAAATTAGATCTAAATTTACACCTGTAGCTTTTTAGAAAAGGAAGGGAAAAAATAAGCTTTTTAAAACTTACATTTATGGATAGCTTGTATACAAGCCTTGTATACAAGGCTACAGAAGGGTCCAAACAGCTGAGAGTGTTAATACCTGAAATGATCTGACATGGTACACAGCCTTTTGTTTAAAAATAAGTTATATTTTACTAATAGTTTACATTTTTTAGTTGATCCAGAGAACCCAACTACTGAAACTGTCAGGGCTCTTTCTCCTCTCTGCAGGTCAACCGATATCTGAGTTGGCACAAAGATTTTATATTTCTAGATTGAGGATTGGTATAGGGGTAAATAGCAGAAAGTTAAATTTGTCCTTGTCTGTGAAAACAGTGGTTCTGCTAGTTTCTCCTACACCAATCCATATGGCTCACCTTTTAGAGGAGAGCCATCCTGGGTAATGATCACTTTATAAGAGCTAGGTATTATTGTATTTAATGATGGCATACAATATATCTAATATACTGTATATCTTTTTTTTCTCTCTCGCCTAATGAATGTTCTTAATGGAGGAAGATTAGGTAATGCAGGGCTATGATAGCCATCTTCCTTCATGTCTTCTCTCTCCATCTGACTAATCAATGTTTGTACAGTGCTTTGAAAAGAAACTTAAAGCACTATGTAAGTTCTAAATCTTATTCATCTGCTTACTGGAAGGGGGGTAACTCTGAAGTCTGGATTGGCATAGTATGAACTAGCAGAACCATAAATTTACAGCTAAGAACAAATTTACCTTTCAGACTCATGACGAATAAATCCACCTCAGGTTCCTCCCCAATCAAGGAAGATCTGGTTCACAACTTCCTGATCCAGGGACCACTCGTGAAGGTTTATCTGTGAGTGACAGTCGCCTTCCCTGAAAGGTAAGTTGCAATCAGGAAGGTCCTGTTGGACACCATCCAAATTCACACCTCCAGGGCTTCTTAAGACAAAAAGGCTGACCTTGTGACTCCCTACATGATAAGCATCTCAGATTGGCTATGTAACTGTACAGAAACCTTTTGGGGAACACCTGATTTCTCCAGGCCCAGAATGCCTTCAGGATTGCCCTGCTTCTAATGTGAAACTTGGACTCAGAAGGTTAAATGCAAAGAAATGCTGCTGATTCCTGAAATATGTGAGGACAGTATTCTGATACCTTCTGTGTAGATACGAAGAGGAAGGATGGGAAAGGAAGATTAGAAGTACAGCAGTGCCACCTAGTGTAAAAACTGGAATGCCCCTTTTTAAATCAGAGAACTAACAATTGGACTTCTTTTTAATAGGAAAATGAAAATATTGCATTCTAAAAGAATATTCATCTGAAAGAGGTTTTGAAACATATACCACCAGATAAACTTGTGAGCTTTATACTGGGAACAGGGTGGAAAAAATATGAATATTGATCCTGTTCATTAAGTTGCCTAATAGTAAGTATTGATTAGAGACTCAGTTATCCTTGCTCAGCTCACTAGGAACACTGAGGTACATTCTCCCTATCTTTTAAGACTACTGGAGAAAAGTAAGCTTTTTTCAGAAATCAAGGAAAATAAAACAAGAATTTAGGTTAGTTCCAAAAATCAAAAATGGGAATAAAAAACAAAACAAAAAAACCAAGCCTATCTAGTGATGATGGACTACACTAAATTACTATTGCTGTAGAGGTCCAATGGATTTAAATATCGGACTGGATTTTGCACACTACTACACACAAAACAGGTATGTGAGAGATTGTGATTCAGTGACTATAGGAAAGAGTCCAGATGCACAAATTCTATTCATGGCTCTGCCAACAACTCACTGTATCACATTAAATACATTTCTTTACATCTAAGTTTAGCCACCTGTAAAATGGGCATAATACAACGTATCTGTGAGGCAGATAAGTGAAACATGGAAAAGCTTGGCTATAAAGCAATACAGAAATGCACAGCAGTATTATGAGCATCATCAAAATACACTAAAGATTACAGTTTCCTCTCCATGTGTAGGTAGAGCTTCCATTAAAGCAAACAGCATTAAATATTGAGCACTGAGAAAGGCAAATTCACACTTGAACTGCTGAAAACTACTGAATCATTAGACAAAAGCACTTCCATACAAAATTATCAACAAGACAAAATGGGATCTAATAACTGATTATCTGTTGTTTAACCCTGCCCCACCCAACCGGCTAGAGCCCGTGTAGCCAGATATTTTCACCTAATAGCAACTTTAAGGACAGATACAGCAAAATCTTACTCTACTGAGTACTCTTCACTCATGTGGTTAGACCTAATGACCTTAACTGGATCGGGATTAGGCCCTAGATGTATTTAGTTTGGTTTTGTGGATGTGGAATGTGCATTCAAATCCATAACACATAAGTGGTAAGTAAACACCAGCAGATTAGGGTTATAGAGCTGTGTTAATGTACTTTAGGCATAGGAGCTACAAGAACCTAAAGGTCAAAATGTTCAAACTTGATTGCCTAAAGTCAGTCACCTAAGAGGCCTGATTTTCAGATTTCAACTCACATTAAGGAGAGCGGCAGGTGTTTCAAAACCTCTAAGAATCAGGCCTCTTATGTCTTGGGCAACACTAAGCACTTGTTAGAGCTTACATTTGCTTTTACAATTTAGTTTTTGGGTTAACAAACCTAGTCAAGTATTAAGATACATACTTATACAGAAGCCCTACTAAAAAAGATGAAATACAAAGAAAAAACAGTGCTCTATAACTATTCAGATAAACAAAAACAAAAAAGTTTTATGTTTTTTCTTACAAATTCTTATTACTGATTAAAAGACTTCCTGATATCAGGGAGTATATATTAGACTTGGTAAAAATAACTGCAGCAGCGTTGATCTCCTCATACTGAAGACTAGCCCTATGAAAGACACATGATTATTTTGTTTCTGTGTTTATGGAAAGAAAAATAATTTTAAAGACCAAATAAAAACAAAAACCAAGCAAACAAAAAACCCCCACAAATCATAAAAGGACAATACTCCAAAAAGGGAAGAGGACCGATATGCCTACAGATTTTTTGATGAATAGTTTATACTATGTTCTTTGAAGAACGGTGTAGAGCAAAACTGAATACCAAATCAGACTTATAGTATGCTGAACAATGCCCAAGAACTCCACTGAGGAAGTGAGAACCTACAAGAAACCTTTCAGGAATGCTGTTAGACTTAAGGAGCAGTGTACAAAAAACACTACAGGGCAGGAAGAAGAAATAGGTTTCAGGTACACGTACGTATGTAGTAGTATGCTGATTGTTTCAGCACTGCCACCACACTACATATTGTAAATGTGTAAAATTCAGCATAAAGTAGAAGTATGAATATAGGATGTATTTTAAGTTACTGATGTACTATTCTGATTCATCGATGCAGCAGTATGATACCAATTTTTAAAGATTTAATTACATTTTAAGTAGCATAATACTGTGAACAGACCATGCAATTATTTCAGATTTTTCCTAAATCTGTTACATTATCCCTGAGCTGTTCCAGAGTATGGAATGAAGCAGTCAACAACAACAACAGTACACAGCTTACACCGTTTTACTTACACACACACACACACACACGAGATTTTTCCAATGGAAATGTTCTTCAGTTATATTTGAAAGCACAATTAGATTGCCTGTCATTTAGTATTTGCTGTTAAAACAGCACAGTCTCATCTTAAAACTACCTTTCACTATGCACTAACTAAATTACTTTTTATAGCACATACAGTATTGTGATACCAGAATGAAGAAATGCTTGTTCAAGCATGTGAAGTTTGGCACTCAATCAATCACAAAGCTACACTACTCCAGGGCTTTGTTCTGTGCAACAATAAGGCCCTTACACGTGAAGGGATCAGTTCAGCAAGGTGTGAGTGCCCTCAGTTCCCACTGACTTAAGAGCTGCACCTTGCAACTTCCAGCATGAATTTTAGATGTGGGTGGAAAAATGTTTAGTTGAAATTTTCCACAGGAGAAAACTAACAATAACCTCGCCTTTTCTACCCTTAGCCCCGAGCCCACCAAAATAAAGCCATTTTCATTGAAAATTTTGACTTTTCATGAAAGAAATTAAAAAAGTTTTAGCTTTCAGCTAAAATGTTTCAGTTTTCCAATATACAAGTAAAATAAACCAGAAACTATCTAGGAAAGCGGATGCTTTCCGTGAAAATTTTCACTCTCTCAAAAACCCAATTTCCATTAAAAACCTCATTTTGACTGAAAATTTGTGACCAGTCCTAATGAATTTATTTTGCAGATATGAAGCAACAAAGAATTTTTAAAAATATGGATTTAACTTGCACATAGAGCTCTTAAAGAATATCTTCTAAAATGTTTCTGAAACATACAGATGTGCTATCTAAAATATGAATTGAAGATTGTCTGTTATAGCCAAAAAACCCACATACTGCTGACAGAAGCTTATATCCAAGCTGTTTAATGCATAATTAAGCAATTTTTGTACTTCCATAATGCTACGTACAAAGAAAAAGGAAGTGAAGAATAGCTTTATCTTCATAACTACGAAAATTCTCTCCCCCCCCCCCCCCAAGTAACACAGCTAACAAGTAAGAATCCGATTAAGAGAAAAACTAACCTAGAGCCGAAAGACCAATTTTATACATGCTGCAAGAGGCATGACTTGGTCTAATAGGTAGTTTCCATCTTTATCTATTACTGTGTCTCCAACTGGTTTGGTTTAAATTCTATAAATTTTGACCAATCTGTGATTGTGCTTTGAATGTGGGATAAATAAGGTCCCAAGGGCTTAAGATACCAGCCTTCTATTTTGTAACTTTGAAACGGATTCATATATATAACAGGAGTGGCTGATGATAGTCAGAATAGTTTCAAGTAGAAGAAGGCGGCATGCATATTTCCTTCTATAATTTTTATGTAAAAAAAGTGTTTAAATATTAATGTAGTGCTAAATTAATTACATGATAAAATACTAAGTAACTGATTTGGTTGCTCTTTCTTGATTAAAATACATTTAAAATGTCTCAGAGAAAAAATAATAGTGGAGGATACTTACATGTTTAAAACAGGTAACAGGAGCTGCTGTTAAATTATTGCTAGTAATGTAGTTACCCCAACTGAAACCTTCCACAGGGACAGCTGCTAAAAGAAAGTTATTTTGTTTAGGAAGCTGTACAAGGGCTGAATGGCATATCTTACATTTCCAAGAATTAGTTTCATTTCTATTATACACAGTTACCTGTTTTAGTCTTCACTTGGTTCTGCAATGTAGCCTGGTACTGAGCATATGCTGCTAGTTTAGCCACTAAAGGTTGTTTCTGGAGAACTTTAGCCTTTTTAGTTGGAGGTTTACCCTAGGACAATAAGAGTTAAGTAAATAAAGCCTTTCAAAACTCTCAACTGGACATTTTCAAAAATGTTCCTCTCACACTACTACACAAAATCACTTTTAAAAGGTTCAAGAACATTACACAATTAATTTTGTAAACAAAATGCATCTCTCATGAGGCTATCCTGGTAGGCAAAAATTTTAACAAATAAAACAGAATATGGAAGTTGTCCATTCAAGTACCACATGAGCTACACTTAGCATTAGTATAGTTTCAACCCATAAAAGCAGACTCGAGGTAATGTCAGAAACATTATTTTTGCCTAGGTATGGAAACCTGCACAGAACACAGCATCAGCTGCTGTTCTATGGATAATGGGCAAAGGGCCTAGACATCTGTAACTATCAAAAAGATGACAAAGGCAGAATCTTAAATGTAATTCTGAGGGCCAGTCATTAGGCAATATTCCCACAGATGCTGGGGTTCCATGTGAGAGACAATGGTAGAACATAAAGTTGATCTCCTGCCAGCTGAGGTTTCAGTCTCTATTAGTGTTATTTTTATAACACATCTACGCTAACTAACCTTTTAAATAAACTAATTTAACAAAGGGGAAAAAAGAATGAGAATTAAAACAGTTTACAACATGCCAAAATTAATACAGCTCAATATGTCAATCTCTATATAGGGTCTTTTAAAAACTCTTATTTGTGAATGAAGTGACAGCAATGGTTTAGCCACTATGATCTGTGAAGCCAACAAGTACTTTGAGGCTAAATCTATGGATTATTCAGATGCCACACACTTACATTTAAAGAATTATCCAGCTCTTGCTACTGCAAGTGCAGTAGGCCCATGGCAGCAGAGTTTATTTAATTCCTCTGCACAAGAAAACTAAATACCCACAGGAAGTGCACCATAAGAGTTCCTTCAACAGCACCAGGTAAGGCAAAAGTGGACCAGAGCCATCAGCCTCTGCACAGATCTTCCCTTTGTCTACCTGCCCTTGCCTATGGGCCACAGAAACTATTTTGGCTACTTAGTTGGTGGAGGGGCAGAAACTCGTTTTCCACAATCCCATTCAACATATCTGCACAATCCACTCAGGTTAGGTGTTGAGCACAAGATTTGCTCCTTGATCCTTACAGAAGTGTTGATCTCTATTTTTGTTAGGTGAACACATTTCTGAAATCAGCTCTGAGCATTTAAGATACCTAGCTTAGTTTAACTTTAGTCATGTTGCTAACGTAACTTTTTAAACTTATTTTCCTGTAAGGGCTAAAAAGACCAGGTTTTAGGTTTAGAATTTACTCAACAGGAAATTTGCACTCAACAGCAGGTGAATAATCTGATAAATTTTGACTCACAAACACAGCTACGTTACTATGAGTTTACTAAAAAACAACCTAATTTAAAAAATAAAACAAAAACATGCATGAGCTCAGATAAACCAGACCAGACAGATAAATGCTTATTTGTAAAACATGCAAGGATAAATATGTAAACAAGATGGTTTCTGTACCGTTACCTGAAGTCTGGCCAGAATGCTGGCCTTCTTGGAGTTTGACGAGTAACTTCTGGAGCATGAAACACTACAGAAACGCTTTGTCTTAGAGTAAAAAGCATCTCGGACACCGACCATCCCACACATCTCACAGGTAGCTAATCAGAGAAGAGAAAAGGTTCAACTATAAAGCATGATAAAAATTTCAGATTAAAAGAGAATTAAAACCCAAACATAAGGATTCCACCATGAAGGTCTTATTGGCTGCAGCCCCGCTTAGCTTCATTTTGACTGTTTAGAGACCAAGCCATTTCTTAGTCCTTGATCTTACAAAGACTTACAGGTGCTTAACTTCACAAAATGACAAGTCCCACTGACTTCAGTGGAACTACTCAAATGCCAAGGTCTTTGTTGAGTGGAGGCTGAAATGGTTCCCCCCCCAGGTTTCACTAACAGAAATTAATGACTCATCCAAAGCTGATCTTCACTCTGCATGCTACCCAGTTCTAGAGTTAAAAGAGACTTCAGGTGTGCATCTGTGAATGCAGACTTCATCTGATGTTTACTACTCCCAACCCAAAAATAAGACTCGTGTCTCTATTTTCCTTTGAATTACACATAAGCCTCTCTCACATATCGTGGCCAGTCAACACCTGCATCCTGCTGGTATTACACACATTATGTGTTGCACTACCCAGTCAGCTCTAAGACACCCAGAGAAACAGAGGTTGCAGGTGACTTGTGCCACTGTGATGCCCCAAGTGGGTTTTACCACAAAATAATTCCACTGCTGAGCAGTATATCTGTCCTATTGTTTTTCTGTGATGATGAAAGCAATGTTCCCTCTTTCTCACAATAATGTGATTCCACACATGTGGGGGTTGAACACCGTATGCTGAAAGAGTGGACTTAATAGGAGTAAAGATTTTTTACAAGCACATAAAGAAAACCAATATAATAAAAGCATTAATGAATGCCCTACAAAGTTATACAGTATAACGCAACTCTGGATTCACCTCCTAAAAATGTTGATGTTAAAAAAGGGTTAACCCAAACTTTTGAGAGGGAAGACTGTCTTAGCACTTTAACAGAAGCCTAAGAACTAAAACGTATTTGAATACAAATTTACTTGATGTAAAAATAAAAATATATACATCACAAAATATTTGCATAGTGTCTTTCTTGATAGGCAAACAGAAATTATTGCTTGTTTCTGGTTGTTAGGAGTAAAAGTCTTCAACTGATCTGCTTTGTTCTCAGAAAGAAAGAGTCAACATGTATTCTCAGACCCACACAAATGACACCTCAGCTTGAAATAAAACACAGAATATGTTATATGAGAGCAATGAAATCCAGCTGAAAACCCACAAACTCAATTCCAGAAAATCTTTGTACTCACCCATGCCAGATTTACCATCTGGATAAGTATAGACCTGTCCATTATTCTTGATAATGGGGAGACTGGATGGTAAGGGAGCAACTTCTTCTTCACTCTCATCAGAGCTTGAGCTGCTACTAGTGTCCTCACTACAACTATCATAACCGTCAAACATCCCGAATGAGTCACGTCTCTTCCTTTCTGACCGTGAAGAATGCTCAGTCTAAAAAGCAAAACACAAAAACACAAGAAAAATTAGAATACTCTTAATGTAAAGATTTTGGAGATGCAGTAAATTGCAGGGTGAATTAAAGTATCTTCTCTTTATACAAAGAGATATCAGCCATGTACCTGCTAATAAAATTGTTCAGGATTGAGAACTTTAGAGGCAGAATTAGCCAGTATTTGATAGTTATATACAAGAAAAAAAAATCCTGTCTCATAACAGGCTGAAGAGTAATGTGACAAGTCAAATCTCTTCTTTTGTTGACATCTCTTCAGAGTTCAGTAATCCTGGTATCTAGAGTATTGATAGCCAGTCAGACCACATAAGCAAATGCGTGCATCCTAAATGGCTGCAGCCAAGTTCACTAAAAACTTTAATATGCTTGCGTTGAGCTAGTCATAGACCTTAGAAAGGTTTGTTTGATCAAAGAGAAAGGATAGTCTATTGGGTAGGGCACTAGTCTAGGATTTGAGAAACCTGTGTCCAAATCCCAGCTCCACCATAGCCTTTTGTGTCACCTTCGACAAATCACTTCGCCGCTCTGTGGCTCAGTTCCTTCTGTGTAAAATGTGGTACTTAAGATTGTAAGATGCTCAGATACTATGGAAATGGGGTCCATATAAATAGCTTCAATAGAAAGGTGGCTAATTTGTTACTGTTACATACAAGAAGAAAATCCTGCCTAATGGTAACTCTTTCCTTTAACCATGTTATGAGGAAACATACACAAGTGAAGTTCACTGCTAGAATGGAAGAGGTTTCACAAATTTTCAATGAAGACATTTGAAATGTATAAAACAATAAACGTATTGATGTCCTATTTTGCGGAGCATCTCGAATATGTATTTTACATGCCATCTTTCACCGCAAAGGATCCCCAAATGCTTCACAGAGAACCACTGAAATGTAACCACTGCCAGAATGGAGAGCAAGAAATTACTGGTTCGGCACAGTGCACAATAATCCAAACATGGAATTTTGGCCAAAGACACCAAGGCCCTATTCAGAACCATTCCCCTTAAAGTTCACACAACAGAAGACAGTGGCCCTCATTCTCCTCTCAATTACCACCATTTTTAAATTGACAACTCCAACGAGCTGCATTTGTCTCAGTCTACGATGGTGAGAGAAGATTCAGGCCCAGTGTCTGTTTAAGTTATTGTTCTGTACTGCTTTCCCTTTCTCTTTGTGTTAACTGCTGAGCGTGATCAGATACTTCTGTGCATCCACTACTCTGCCTGCATTTCCCTCCTACATACTTGCAATCAATCACCAAAGTGGGAGAATCCCAAAGACTAACCATTTGTCTTGTGATCCTTTCCTTGCACCTGCCAGAGACAGAATCACATTCACAGAAATCACGGACATCTGTGATTCCATGCATGAAGACAATATTTTATGGTAAATATGCATGTTAAAAATGTCATAACAAGAGGACATCCCTTGCAGACCACAAAACTGACATGTTACACAAAATAGGTAGAAATACGATGTAGGATTCACATAAGCTATTTCACTAAATGATCTCAAAGCATTTACAAACATTAATTATGTTTACCACCACCCAGGGAGGTAGATATCTGCATTTTAATAAAGGAGAAATTGAAGCACAAGGAGATTACTCCAGTTGTCTAAAGTTGGACTGGAAGTATGTGGCCAAACCAGGAACAGAATCTAGTCCTCACCAAATTGACTGCTCTCCACCCACTGGATAGAAATTAATAGGAAGTGGTAAGGAGACAGATCAACAAAATAGGGTAAAGAAATAAATTCAATTATTTAAGTGTGGGTTGGGGAAGGGAGTGTTGCAAGATAGCTGAAAAACTCAAAGCTAGGTTTTTGTCCCTGATATTTTTGATAAGCCAACCCTGCCTGAAAGTTAGCATGTACACTAAGAGACTGGAAGTGATATTAAAAGACTGGATTTCACTTTCCTTTTTTACACTGGACCTGCTCCCTGTACTGCTAGTTTTAAGACTTCTCCAAAATAATCCTCCAAATCTTTTTTCCTGATTAGCATGCTAGGCGACTGTTCCATTGAGAACATACTTATTTTACATTTGCCACCTGCTGGTCCAATCATCTAATCTGGTTGGATCGTCCCTACTCTGCGTGTTTTAGGACATTTGTTTTCAATCTTTCCACTCTCTCGCTTTGTTTTTTTAAATGAAGATCCTCCACTCTTGCCTGGCAATATGCCTAAATCCTGGTATGGAGAGAACTTTTCTAATATTCAGAGAGGAATATAGTTTCCACACCCACGCAGTCCTAGCCTCCCCACCCCCTTACAACAAAACCACCAATACGTAATGGGGTGAATACACATTTACCACACTAACAGCTTTCAAACGTCAAAAATGTCAATGCACTGTAAACTGCACAGAGATTCCTCAGCTAGTAATTCAAAATTATATTTTAAAAAATGACAACCAGGTGAACCAAGGGAATTTCCTTCCAGTCAGCAACTGGCTGAGGAGTGGAGCATTCTTGAACTAGACCCCAATTTGACCCAATGGAAAAACTTGCATTGACTTCAAAAGACCAAGACCAGACCAGGTCCTCACTGTTAGGAAAAGCCTCACCTGCAGGCCATTATTTATTACGATTATAAGCCTAAGAGATGCAAGCTCAGTTATTACCTCCTGTGTGTTAAAATTAAGTTAGCAATTGAACAACAGGTTGCCATGGATACAGTGTTCTAGTAACAATTCTGGTCAGTTACAGATCAGCACACTAACCAAGAGGAAAGCAAGTCTTCATCCTCAACATTTCATTAGATTTGTAACTTCTTACAGTTGATGTTTAACACTGTATTGACCATGGCATTCAGTCTAGGCCAACCCCTCTCTGTCAAATCATTCACAGATGAAAGAAAACACACTTAGCAAAAATGTTTTAAATTAATACGTTTCAAGAACACATGGAGCTATCAATCTAGCCATCTTCAAAATGACCATACGCATCAAATGTGCCTACCAATACATACCTGCTCAAGGTGGCATAACATTCCTCCTCCATAAATCTTGTGCTTGGTCAAGCTGTTCCATTATCTTAACCCATTGGAATGTGGAAGTTTTGGTTTGGAGGGGAAGGGGCTGTCTGTGTAAGTTTAAAAAGAAGACTGTGGCTTCTATAAAGTATTTTTATTCAGACTTTTGCCAGAAGGTGAATGGCATCTGTGTTTAGGGGAGAATTTGCTTCTAACACTCTTGTAGTTGATTAATATTTGCATTGTATGTGTATGCTCAGGGATTTAGATTAAGTCTCAGGAAAAACTTCCTAACTGTAAGAACAGAAGGCCAATGGCACTGACTGCCTCGGGAGGTTGTGGAAGCTTCTTCACTGGAGGTTTTCAAATGGAGGCTGGATAGCCATCTGTCTTGGATGACTTAGACACAACAAATCCTGCATCTGGGCAGGGGGTTAGACTGCTAGATGTCCTTACAGTCCTTCTAACCCTATGATTCTAGGATTTGTGCAGCGCACAGTTTATAAACTGACAAAACTACAGTTTTTCCAAAAGGAAAAATATATACACTTTCAAAATAGCAAATCTAATGAAGAGTCTTATAGACAAAAATATTTATATCATGCATAGCCCCATAATATTTCATAAGCCCATTCTCACTTGGCCAAGTAACTGCAATACATCAATGTAGTTACCATGCAGCAAGACCCAGATTTTCAGGGAAACATTTTCAGGATATCATCAGAGTGGGGAGGTGCATTTTAAAAGTATACCATGGACAGATATGTATAATGAAAAACAAACATCTGATCTATGCAGAGCTGCTGAACTACATAACAGATGCAGCCTATAAATAATGAGAAATGTGGCAACAAAGGAGTTAAGTCATGCCAGGGGAATCTATAACTTACTCCTGCTGTACAGGCAGGGCGATATTTCTGGACTATGTGGTCTGAAATCTGAAGACACAAAAGGCTATAGATAATAAAAACAATAATATCCCTATTTCAGTGATTCAAACAAGAGAGATAAATTTGGCCTGGAATAAGATTAATTAAATAAAGGTTTGTTCATGTTGGCATCATATTTATTTTTTGTTAGAAGGAACTTACCCACATCTTTCTGTGGGGGGAGAAGAAACCAGACCCAGGATGAAGTGTGGCACCCTTCTCTTTCCTAATCTCTCCCTTTCTTTTTAGGTTTTGATCCTTTTACTTGAACCACTCCAAGATGCCTGCAGCTAAATAAGGAAGTGAACTTGCATCATGATTCCACTTCTCTGACTTTGATTCCCTCATGGCATTCATGATGACCGCTAGTCTATTTCATGCTGTCTGGGGGGAACCTGCTAAGATGCAGGAGCATAATCCTAATCAAGTCTATTGTTTTTTCCCATTCTATGAACTAGCACAAGTATATTTCTTCTGTTGCGTCTTCAAGCCAGTTACCACTACTAACAGTAAATTTGAATGGATACAGCCGTGGGGATTCCTTCCCAAACCTACAAGGTGTCTTAGTGTCCAAGAATATTTTCCTTTCCTTAAATTGTCATTTTGTATGCTGACTCCCAGCAATCTCAAAAGCTCTCAGAATTTGCAGGCTTTTGAAGAGCTATATACAACAGACATTTAATGCTGTATAGCCTTAATATTTAGTTATTGATCCTTAGATCACACTCTAGTAAGTACAGAAACAGGGGACAGCATATATATTCAGGAGAAATTTAGGGAGACAGTATGCAATTTACCGAAACTGGAATTTTGCCAGATCATGTCTAGCACCTCTACTCTTGCAGTGTGTGCCACAGAAGCCTCCTTTTAATACCTTGTTGAAAGCCAGAATCTGCTGCAGCATGAGAGAAGAGTACTAGTTCTAGAACCACTGATATTGCTTCCCACAGGACTTGGGTTTGCTTAGATTACAAGACCTGACATCACAAGCCTAGGTGGAATAACTATAAGCAGAAGGGGACCAAGTATAACGTTCAGATTTGCAATCAAGTACCTTAGTAATAATCAATAAGTGGAAAGGACAGGTTGAAAGCACTGATGTTTGGATAACTTACTCTTTTTAAAAGTCTGCCTGAAACTAACAGCAGTTTTAATTTTCTCAAATAGAATTGTATCATATTAAGTAACTGACCATTAGTATATAGATATACATGGTGTGAACTACACATACAAAAAGGAAGGAAAAATCCAAGCACTTTTTGATGTGGGATTTTACAGGAAGCAGGCTGTAGAAAGTTTGCATCAATGTCAAAATTAGGATAGGATAAAGGCCAGCTAGCTTCACCTACTGATAGCTTAATGGAGGGGAGCCCTGCCTATTGGTATCCTTTTGCAAAGCATGCTGGGAATGGGAAGAATCTGGGACCGTAGAGAGTTTTTTTAACTTCAGTCACTGGGAAGAGTGGTAGCACTGCAGAAAGGCATCTTACTAAAGTAGTGTTGGGGGAAACAGCACCAGAGACGGGTATGCTAGCACGGGGAAGTCACAGCTGCTAGAAAGAAGGTACCGGACCTGGAACTTTGGGCACATAGGCTGTGGCTTGCTTCCTTAAAGGGATTATGGACTCCTCAGCAGGAAAAAAGGCTTTTGGCATACTTGGGACATACAGAGCACTTCAAATTTATGTGGAAATGGTACTGAATGCAGCTGCTGGTGAAATAAATACTTATGTGGCTTTTTAAAGAACAGTTTAATCTGTGCCTTCTACGACACAACCCTCCGACGAGTGAATGCCTAGTGACATACAGCCTATCTGTATCAAATATCTGAAAACATGTAACCATTCTAATCATTGAGTGCTCTCACACAAAAAGTTAACACCTTTTCCCCTCCCTAAAGCTGAGCACGCAAATGTGTCTAAATTGGTATGTGCCAATCAGATAAATGGAAATTATAGTCCCTACAATACGCAATTATCTGATCTGCATAATATTAATAACTGCATGTAGAAACTAAGCATATGACTGCATGTCTTCTCTGTACGCAGTAATGTGCCTTTTTTTTTTTTTTTAAACTGGGACAATCTACAATGCTATTGATGAAGGTACCTTATACAAGCCAGAACTAAGCAAAATAAACAAATTACCACATCCAATACTTCATAAAAAAACTTCCTAAATTGTGTCATTTTGGAGATTGAACTCAAGCAGTGGCAGGCCATCATGGGCAGCAAATTCCAAAAGCTTGAAGTCTTCAATTGAGAATGTCCTACTACTGAGACTGCGTAGCTTCACAGCAAGAACATCGTGGCCGCACTTAACTGCCATGACAAGACAAGCTGAAAGTGGAGGTGTGGGGGAAGGTCTAGAGAATCCAGGTTCAAGACCATCCAGACTGTTCAAGAACTACTTACAGAAGAAAACAAGGAACCTGCGCAGAACTTTGAATACAGTTTATGAGCTAACAAAGGCCTATCCAACACAGAGGTTGGCAGCTGCATCCTACTTCAGGTTCAGTCTGCACGCGATGTTCAAACCTAACCCAAAGTACATTGCATATAGAGGAGGTGAATGTGGCATGGATCAACACTCTTGCATTAAAGGATCAGCATAACCTCTAGGTCTGAGGCACATAAGGTCACCACTGCTACCCAGTATCCGGGAGCAGTGACAATTTAAGCAAATATTCTCAACTATCAGACATTATCACTACGCAACATTTCTCTTCATGTTAGAAGAATACTGCAATGTACCCGTTCCTTCTAATCAAGAGACCGTTGACATTATATGCAGTTATCCCAGTCCTAGCTCTGAGTTTGATCAAACTCTAAACCAGTGGTTCTCAACCAGGGGTACGGTACAGGGGGCATGTCAACTCATCTCAACAGTTTCCCAGTTTTACAACAGATTACATAAAAAGCATTAGCGAAGTCAGCATAAACTCAAATTTCATACAGACAAGGACTTGTTTATACTGCTCTATACATTGAAATAGTAAGTACAATATTTATATTCCAACTGATTTATTTTATAATTATATGGTAAAAATGAGAAAATAAGCAATTTTTCAGTAAGGTGCGATGTCATTTTTGTATTTTTATGTTTGATTTTGTAAGCAAGTAGTTTTTAACTGAAATGAAATTTGAGGGTACACAAGACAAATCAGACTCCTGAAAGGGGTACAGTTCTCTGGAAAGGTTGAGAGCCACTGCTCTAAACCACAAAAAAATTAAATTAGTTATATTACAACAGTTTTAAAATCAAATCTTGTCAAAACAATTTTCCCTACAGCAACTTATTAAAAATGTAAAGCTTTAGCATAATTGTATCCCCCGTTGCACTGTGAATTTAATACCTTCCCATAACATTACAGCAGTAGGAAAAACAAACAACTAAGCAGCAATCTAAAGGTAATGTGACCAGCTTTTAAAAAAGATAAAATAAAAATCTTTATTTCTGATTCCCTGGAATCCTATAACTTACCTACAAGTTTTGGACAGCGGGTTTTGAGACATTTACAAATATAAATTCTATCTGAATGTTTTACAAAAGTAACATGTAGAATGACTCGCTGAACAGCTGTAGAAATGCACTTCTGTCTTCAGTGTGTCTATTTGACATCATTCTTTATAGTTTGTTTCCCATGTCCGTTTGGCTTGCTGTTTGCAGCCTCCATTTTATGGTCCTTTTGCACAGCAACAAGGAGAGAAATTGACTTAGCTGCCAGCTGACAGTGCTTAGCACCTTGCAAAATCAGGCCGAATTTTACGGATTAAGAGAAAAAAAATGAAAGACCAGGAGCACGAACCCTTAAACACTTTAACCTATGTTCCCCCATCCAGCCATTAATTTTTATAAAGCAGACACTAAGGAAATCTTGCCTCCATGCCCCAATCCTGTCCGACTGTGTAAAGTTACTCACATACTTAAGTGTTTTCAGGACCAAAGCCTAAATTATTTGTTCCTTTGTATGTTAAATAACTCCCCAGCTAGGAAACTTATCCTTCCTATGTTTTCCAGTAGTCTGTGTTATAACTTGCTCAAAAAAGCTAGTTAAAAGAGACTATATACCACTGAATTACAAAGCTGCTATTTTATAGACTAAGTGACCCCCCCCCCCCATTTGTAAGGCAAGTTTAGCATACAGATTTAATTTTCTTCTAGATTGGTTACTTAATACAATAAAAAAAATCTAAAATATAATTGTTATTTACCTCATTTTGAAGCTTTGAGACCCGTGTGTGACTCCCTGACACTAAAAACATCAAATCACTAGGCTGCCTCTCAAGCTTTAAATGACAACTTCCCTATAAAAATAGAAACTTTTAAAGGGACACTACCAATTTAAATATGGCCCAACATGTACATTTTGTAAGAATAAGGTTTTATAAAAGATGACAAACAGAACTGGTTCGTCAATTTTTTAAAAAAAGTCTACTATAACCAGTAGCTCTTTAAAACCAAGAATTTTCATGCAATACCTGGAAATCCAACTACTACAAATCTGAAAGTGAAACTAGCTTCATAGTCATATTGCTCAAAGGGAGAAAAATGCCAAAAGTAAACCAAACCATAAACCAGGGGTAGGCAACCTATGGTAAGCATGCCAAAGGCAGCACGTGAGCGGATTTTTAGTGGCACTCACACTGCCCGAGTCCTGGCCACTACTCTGGGGGGCTCTGCATTTTAATTTAATTTTAAATGAAGCTTCTTAAACATCTTTAAAACCTTATACAACTAAACTATTGTTGTATGTAAAGTAAATATTATAGACTTATAGAAAGAGACCTTCTAAAAAACGCTAAAATGTATTACTGGCACGCGAAACCTTAAATTAGAGTGAATAAATGAAGACTTGGCACACCACTTCTGAAAAGTTGCCGACCCATGCAAACTATCACACTGGATTTTTTAAAAGTAAAAGCATTTTAAAAATCCCAAATTGTCATTAATAACATAGGTAAAGTGACTGCAACATTTGAAAAAAATCTAGTGTCTCATTAAACCCTCATTGCAAAAGCTTTAATTGTGAAAGGGATAATACTATAATAAAAAAGTATTATCCCCAACCCAGCTCCCCCATCAGTGAATGGCAATCAGGGCAGGCCTGAATTGTCCAGGTAAAAACAAAAACAACCCATTGCTATTGTTTCTGGTTGTCAGGAGATCCTGCAGAGACAATAAGGCTGCCTGCAGAGATCTGAAACCTACTACAATCTTCTGAAGGAAGAAAGGATCACAACAAAAGGTAACCTGTCTGAGCAGGGTTGTGCTGTCCTCCCGCACATTACCAGTTTCTCTCCTGGTGATGACAGATATTGCCATGTATTTCAGCGAGGTATTAGAGGCTCTCTCATAACACTGCGGAACACTATGCTCATTCACTGTCCCAGCATGAGTACCTTCTGGTAATTATATATCAACTATATGCAACCTTTACTCCGCATTTGCTGCAACCTACTCTGGTTGCACAGTCCGTTCCAGAGCTGCTATGCAGATTAAAGTTGCACGAATAAAACTCCTAGCGCGAGCTCTCACAGGAACTAAGGGAAGCCTGAAAATTACCGCAGGAGGAATCGCAACAAAAGAAAGCAGCGGAGCAGCCCCGGGATCGGAGCTGCAGCCCTCCCTCCCCGCAGGCACACACACGAGGGGGCCGGGAGGGGCGGAGAATCCAGAAAAGAGGAGAGCAAAGTAGCCTAAAGCACCAGGGCTTGTGACTGCTGCTGCTGTTTTCTTTCCTTCCCGCACAAAACCCCAGTGCTGTCTCCGGGCTCCTTCCCCGCGTACCCGCGTGCGGCGGCGGCTCCTTCCCCTCCCACACGCACCCGGGGGAACCTAGGAAAGGCTGCAGCCGCGGGTCCCCGCCAGTTTGCCCCCTGCAAATACATACAAGCGAAACAACAACAACAACAGAAGCCCGAGGGTGCTCCTGGCTGCTCCCCTCCCACACAAGTGCTGCGGCCAGCACAGCTGCTCTGCTCCCGCCCCCAGCCACAAGGAAAGCTCCGTCTCCCCCCGCCCCCTCCCACACTGTTCCCACGCCTGCTGGCTGCCCGCCCCCCCGAGCAAGCTCCCAACCCCCCCGCACTGCCCCTGCACCCCCTCCCCGCAGCCCCAGGGCTGCTCCCCACAACCACTGCAGCCCCCCTCCACCTCCCGCCCGCGCTCAGCCCCCCCAGCAAGCCAGGCGAGCCCACCGCAGCGGCGGCTGCCCTGCCTCCGCCGGGGTTGTGCTACTCACCAGGTCCTTTGTGTTTTCCATCAGGCCCTCATGGGCAGGGGATGCCTGCTGCTCTTCCCCCCTCCCCTCCGCCCCCTCCCTCTCTCCCCCCTCCCCTCCGAGGGGCAGGGCCCGGCTGGGACAGGAGGTGGCCTGGAAAGTTCAGCCTCTCACTTAGGCAGAGAAAGAAATTCAACTCCCTGCCCAGAATATCAACAACATTAGCATAACGGCAGCGCGCAGGCGCAGCGCCCAGCCCGCCGCGCGCTCTCATTGGGTCCCCGAGTCTTCGGAACCTCCTCGCTCGCCGTATCCCTCTGGACGAAACCATTTTGTGGAGAGGGGGTGCGAAGCGGCGTGCTAAAAACAGCCTGGCAATGGACCGGTTCACCTGATTCGCTGCTTCTGAGCCCCGTATTACCGTCCAGAAGGTTAGTCGTTATAAGTGGTCCCGTCTGTAGGGGCAATAGAATAGTCCGGCCTGGGAGCCTATCACGTGGAAGAGAAGGATGGGTCATGTGAGAATGTCTTGAGTGAAGGGAACCGGAGTGAATCACGTGAAAGAGGCGGGGGCGGGGGGCTGGTGAGGTAGGTACTTGGTCACGTGGGAGACAGACCTTTCTGTTTCCGCTTCCGGTTAGCGAGCGACGCCGCCTGCTTCGGCGCTCGGTGCGGTCGGCATGGAGCGGGAGCCGGCGGGCGCTGCGGCGGCTAGTCGGAGCCCCGCGCGGGAGCGTGGCTGGGTCCGGGCGGCGAAGAAGCGGCGGCGGCTGTTGCCGCGGACGGGAGACGCCGGCGTTGGGGGCGAGGAGGCCCGGCGCGCCCGGCACCTGGGGGTGCTGGCCGGGAGGCCGGCGGTGGAGCGGTGCCTGGAGGAGCTGGTGTTCGGCGACAGCCAGGGCGCCGAGGAGGAGGAGCTGCTGCAGCGGTTGCGGGGCCCGGGCAAGCAGGTGAGGTGGCGGGGGGGAGGTGAGGTAGGTGCCCGTCGGGGAGGGCGCTTGGGAGAGGAGGCGGCGATGATGTAAAGGGGGGGGCTGGTTTGCGGCGGAGGAGGAGCTACGCTCCCTGTATCCTCCTTGCCTGCCCTCCGAGACCTGGGGCCCGAACAGTGATTTCCCTCCCCCGCCCCCGAATTTTCCCCAGCACCTCCCCCCCCCAAGTTTTTGTGAACTAGTTACATGACAATTGAGTGACTGTTTTGGAAATTTGAATTGAAATTGAAACATTAATACACATTTTAAAAGCACATACAGTATATGATAAAATGTGTATCTTAAAAAGTATAATAGATTTGAAAAGTATGAACATAGACTAGCTTCCTTATACAGCTGTTATTTTTTTATGATAAGGTCAGTACATTCATTTCGGTGATGTTGGCCAACCTAATAATTTCAAATTATGGTTTGTAAGCAAAGTCTAAATGAGCTCTCCCTGACAGCTAGTGATGAGCTGGGGGTGAAAGGCTTCAGGACCAGATTGTATTTACATTCACACCTAATATCTAACTAGGTATCCAGCAAACAGAGCTGTGTTGCCCAAGTGATAGATTTTGGCTGGGGTTAGGTTACGAATCACTTGAATGGCGGGGGTTGGGGGGATGAAATGTTGTTGTTTATGTATGAGTAAAGGGAAGTAGAACTGTACTTAGCTTGTGCTGATTGAGGGCATCAAGGGAGAGGGTGGGGACAGGTGTTTTGCTTGATGGTCTGCCTGAGTCACAAGTACAATTTGACCTGCTCCTCTCCACTGTTTAAAGACAAAGCTCCATAGATAGTCTTTTGTTTTGTTAAGCAACCACTACAGCTGAAATCACTGATAATCAGGTCTAAGTGTTTAGACCTGCTGTGGGACAGTATTTCTGTGGAAGACATAGCCCAGTCTGCACTAGCAGTGAGGTTCCTCCACTGAGAGCTCAGCTGAAATCACCCAGAGCTGGGTGGATCCTCAAGAGACCAACTTGGAGAGGTCGCAGTGGCAAGTGGCCACAGAAGGTGATGGCGCAGGGCCATTGGCAACAGAGTGATGGAGTGAACAGTGGCACAATGAACAACAGTGGCCAGAGCGAACAGTGAGAAGCTGGAGGAACGAGCAAGGTGCCTTCTTGCCCCCCACCTTGGAGGTGAACTCACGTGAAAGCACCTCTGAACTCTGAGTCTCCACTGACCAAGGACAACAGTGGTGAGTGGGGTGCAGTGGAGGGAAAAGTGAGGGGCATGTTAAATAAATGTTTGTTAGACTATATTTTAGTGACTTTGCTCCAGAATGTTAGATTTGTGACTGGGAATGGAAACTTTTATACATATGTTTCCTAGTAGGCCAAGACTTTTAAAATGCATTATTTGCCAAGGTTGTTATCTCACATCATTGCTATAGTGGTCATTATGTTGGGGAGTTTCTGTACTAAACTTTTATTATTATTATAATTAATTTTTACATAAGAGTGGCCAGACTGGGTCAGATTAATGGTCCATATAGCCCAGTATCCTGTCTTCCAACAGTGGTTAAGGCCAGGTGCTTCAGAGGGAGTGGGCAGAACAGGTAATCATCAAGTGATCCATCCCCTGTTGCCCATTCCCAGCTTCTGGCAAACAGGCTAGGGACACTCCAAGCATGGTGTTGTATCCCTACCCATCTTGGCTAATAGCCACTGATGGACCTATTCTCCAGGAATTTATCTAGTTCTTTTTTTAATCCTGTTATAGTTTCGGTCTTCACAGCATTCCCTGGCAAAGAGTTCCACGGGTTGACTTTGTTGTGTGAAGAAGTACTTCCTTTTGTTTTTTAAAAACCTGCTGCCTATTAATTTTATTGGGTGACTGCTAGTTCTTGTGTTATGTGAAGGATTAAATAGCATTTCCTTATTCACTTTCTTCACACAAGTCAAGATTTAAAAGGCCTTTATCATATCCCCCCTTTGTCTCTTTTCTAAACTGAAAATTCCCCGTCATTTTAATCTCCTGTTTCATACCTCTAATCATTTTAGTTGCCCATCTCTGTACCTTTTCTAGTTCCAATATACCTTTTTTGGGATGGGGTGACCAGATCTACACACAGTATTCAAGGTGTGCATGTACCATGGATTTATATAGAGGCAATATTATATTTTCTGTCTTATCTATCCCTTTCTTAACGATTCCCAACATTCTGTTTGCTTTGTTGACTGCCACTGCACATTGAGTGGATATTTTTAGAGAACCATCCACAATGACTCCGAGATCTTTCTTGAGTGTTAACAGCTAAATTAGACCCCATCATTTTGTATGTATAGTTGAGATTGTTTTCCAATGTGCATTACTTTTCATTATATCAACATTGAATTTCATCTGCCATTTTGTTTCCCAGTCATCCAGTTTTGTGAGATCCCTTTGTAACTCTTAGCAGTTTGCTTTGGACTTAATGATCTTGAATAGTTTTGTATCATCTGCAAATTTTGCCATCTCACCGTTTACCCATTTTTCCAGATCATTTATGAATATGTTGAACAGTAATGGTCCCAATACTGACCCTTCAGGGATACCACTATTTATCTCTCTCCATTCTGAAAACTGATAATTTATTCCTACCCTTTGTTTCCCATCTTTTTAACCAGTTACTGATCCATGAGAGGACTTCCCTCTTATCCCATGATGGCCTACTTTTGAAAAGTCAATTTTAAATTAAATACATTTTTTTTAAGAAATTATATTTTTAAAGAAATCTAGACCTGTTGTGTTTTGGTGTATTTTGCATTATCCTCATGTTAAATTTGCATTATCCTAACAAAACATTTATTTTATTCATATCTTTTATATGTTGCAGGTCAAAGTAAAAATGAATAGATAAAAAACAATACAACAATTTTTCTACTCAAAGGCCTCAAACTAACCAAGCTGAAGAACACATCAAGAATCAAGAATATATTAACATGTCATCTGAAGGTTCAAGTGGTGTATTTACATCCAACCAGCCCAAAGCACAAGTACAACTACCTACTGAAAAAAAGTGTCTCCAAAACCTAAAAGCAGTTCCCGATGTTTGTCGCTCAAAGTGTTCCCATTTGTTGAAGTTACAAAAGATGGCTACTGGTGCACCTCTTGCAAAAAAGCTTACGAAGAAGGAAAGCTTTCCAGTGCTATAATTGGTAAAAGTGGAGGAGCTTGGTTTGTCAGACCAATCAACAAAGCCAATGCTGACAAACTACGTGAAAAGGCAGCAGAACACCAGGCCTCTGGACTGCATCAACATGCAGAAAGCCTTATAAGCCTACTTTCAAAGCCAATTTTAGAAGTACTTAATGAGGCTGTTAAGAATGCTGGAGACACAACATAGTTCATGCTAACAAACATGGCCGTGGCCTCCTACTTTCTATTTAAGCAAGAGACACCACACACTACAAACTGGAGGCCAGTGTTAAGGGCACTGTCACTTGTTCATCTTGAAGCTGAACGCTTGTTCCGAACAAGACCAGCAAATGCTCTCTATCTTTCTGCAAGAAACTCAACTGCCTGGCTAGACGCATATTGTGCAACAGTGAAAGACTCAACAGTTGAAAAAGTGAAGAACTCTCTCACCACATTCCAAAAATTTGCATACATGGCTGATGAATGCACCGATGCAAATGGGCATCAAGTATTAAGTCACTGTGTATGTTAACTTCATG